CACAAGAGTATTTGCATAGAGGGTTTGGAAAATAAAATGTACAGTGTGTCAAAGAATGGACAACCCCTTGTATCCTTTATGGGCACTTCATTTCTGCAACATTCAAAAGAGCAAAGAGCTGATCCTTCTGGTACTTTTGTGTGTACTTTGGAAGGGATCTTCCTATAGAAGCTTTGGGTTTATCTCTGGGAGCCCAAACTAATTACCGGTCTAGTGTATTCTGGATGAGGAAAAATCCAGTTTTGTAAAGGTATGCTTCTGTTTTCTGCCCTTGTCTCCCTACATTTATCTATCACCACTTTGAGAGCAGAAAAGGCAGCAGCTGGCTGCGTGGGACAGTGAATGGTGCCCTTGGCTGGCACCAGAAGGGACAGTGTCAGCAGGAGGAGGACAGAAGTTGGTCTGTAGAGCCTTATCAAATGCTTGGGGTAGAAAATCCTAATAGAGATTTGTTTGTTTCATTTTATGCTTTGAAGTCAGTGCTTTTTTCTCTTCCATCTCCCATTTTTGGACTTGTGAAACAACTATTTTCTGACTGTGGCAGGAGGAACTGGTTGGATTCAAATGCTCTGTAACGTGCAAGAGTGGGAAAACTCCCTGGGACTTGGGACATCCAGGGCGCATGTGCTGCGTGTGGAGGGGAACATCAGGGAGTGGAGGGACATACGGAATGGTTTGCAGAGTCTCATCCATGTGCGTGGAGTGATGAGTGGAAGTTTTCACCATCAGCACTTAACACTGGTGCTCCAGGACCTGCGCTGCGTCTGTGGGCTTGAGGGGGAGGCTAAAATAGATTCTTGGCATAAGGTCTTGGATCTTGGATCCTCTTTGCTTAATAGAGAGCTCTGTTTCCCTAGTGATACCCCTGCAGCTGCAAGCCACAGAGGCATCTTGGCTGAAGTCCTCTCGGTTTGCAGGAGAGAACACGGGATAGATCTCCTTAGCAGGAGTATGACTGAATGCTCTCTTTCCCTCCAGCCTGGGAGAGTCCAATTCTGCTGACCTGAGGGACACATCTCTTCATGTTCCAGGCTCTGGAGAAAAGTGAAATAGTGTGTGCAAAAGTTTTCAGTTTACATAGAAAGATTTGAGGTATCTGGCCAGAGTCTTTTTTGTGCCTTCTCTGGCTTTTGGAAGTTGCTGAGTTTATTTTTGTCTGTGTGAGTTGGCCTGTTTTTTTAATATATGGCAGAGGTGGCTAGAGTCCTGGATAGGCACTTTTTTATATTTCTTATAAACCTAAACAAATACATTAAATAAAGGTCCTTTCACCTCTAGGTTGGTGGTTCAAATCCAGTCGTGCTTGGGAACAGAACTGTTCAAGCAGTAAAAATAAAACATCTCCTGATTTATGAATAGAAGTGTCAAGTTTTGACTTGTTCTGATTACTGGCATCACGTTATTTGTGAACATTCGGACAACTGCCAGAAATTCATGAAACACGTTTGTGAATCCCAGAAGTTTCATAAACTTCAGCCTGAGTGATTATTTGCTTTCTGGTGAATAAGTGGGCTCGCTGAAGCGGTACAAAAAGAACAGCTAAGTAATACTCAGGCCCCATAATAATAATAATAATGAGATGCAAAGGCGCTGTTTCTGTTATAATGAGAAGGATGGCAATTCTGCTCCAGTTTATATCAGTGCAGTACTATCTGCTCCAAGGAACTGTTGTTACTAGTTTGAAGAAACCCAAGGAAGAAGCACTTGATTTTCAGATCACATGTTGTTTGCTGGACCATCAGTTGGAAATTTTGTTTTCGTTTTTGTTTGCTTGGAAATTGAATTGTCCTGCTGGAGAAACCATAAAAGCAATGCTAATGCTAGGTAGTATTTGTAGGGTATGGCAGGTGGGGAAAAAGCAGGGCTGTGGATTAGAACTCTGTGCAGGACAGAACAAAGAACTGCTTCGTGACATGGGAGCAGATCAGCAGCCCTTTGTCAGAAGATAACTCCACTAAATTTTCTCTAGCTTTAAAAGAGTAACTCTTTGCCTTAAAAATCATGGTGATGTGGCAAATGCATATGGATTTCACCCCAGGAGTAGTGATACCACAGTTGAAGGCAGAGAGCTAAATTCAAGGCATAACTATGCTAAGATGGCTCTCTCCTTATCAGACCATGCCGTACACCTATTTTTTTTGAGCATTCAAAAGTTTCTTTGAATGCCAGGTGTGTGGGAAACTTGACGAAAAGCAAGAGCAGTACATGGCCTACAGTATTTCAGAGATACTTTGGGACTGTAAATGACATTTTAAGCACTTCTTACATCCTTTTTCTTCTTCTGTGTGAGTCTTTATATTCTCTTACTGCTTGCTCTTCATCTGCAGAAAGTAATATTCAGATTTATTTATTTATTTATTTATTTATTTTGTATAGCTGCTTTGTCCCAGCACACAGTGTTTGCACAGGGACATTACAGCATGGATTCCCTCTGCTGCCACTTTGCGCAAGTGTGACTTTAGGACATTACTTGTAATTTCTATTGGTATTATAAATAATAGATCAGCTCCACAAATTATTTGCTAAAGGTTCCAACAGATGCGGTGTAATTAACAGACTGTAATCATTAGTTTTTGGAGAGAGGGTGACATATCAGTTTAACTGCTTTTTAGCTTAGAAATACGTCCAAGTAGTGATGCCTCCAGAGGGATATGCACATGGATGAATGTACTTTGTGCATGCCGTTTTATATACATTCTCACTTTGCTTTCCAAGTATTAACATGTGTAAATCCCTTTGGCATGTGCAGATACGTGCAAGTGGGTTGTGCATCTGTAGCATTTATTTGCATATGGAAGAAAGCATATGTGGAATTGTGTGTACTGAGTTATGCTAGCAGCAAAGTCTTTTGAACATTTGACCTTAACATAGTACCTTTTCAAATCTGCAATTCAGTGATTCAGTTCCTTTTGCCTTAAAAATGAAAGCAGAGTGACTCTGTGTAGAGTAATAATAATATTTTAGGAAAGAAACCTTTGAGGCGTATTACCCAGTTACGCCTCCTTTAATTTAGTAACATGAAAACCACAGAGACAGAAAAACCAGTTTAGATGGAAGAATACAGGAGTAGCTCACTGGTGCAGGTATTGAGCTGATACCCAAGCCTCCAGTGAGCTCATCCCATTATCACCAGAGAGATCATTCTTCCAACCTATGAAAAGCATAGCACTGTTGTTGTAGCACAGCACCACAACTGCTGTAGGTCCCATCTGTTAAACAGACCTGTCCAACAAGTTGTATTTAGCTCACGGGCTGTTGGAGCAGGAGGAAGACTGCAATGCTATGATGCCACTTCTCCAGAGAGCGTGGGATGTAGCCCAAAGGAGTGAGTCTTGTACAGGTGAATCAGAACAGTAGTTGTAATAGCTGTTGATAATATTAATGCACACGTTTGAGTGAGAGTAGTTGAAAAATGAAAAAAAAGATCTGGGGAGAACTGCTCTTCCTCTTCATTTTGGGAGGGCATCTAATGTTTTTGTCCAGCAGCTCCTAATTTCTGTAAATAAACTCTGTTATTCGTGCCTGGAGGTAATATGCACAGCAATATTTCATATAATAGTATAGAATATCCTGAGTTGAAAGGGACCCGCAAGGATCATTGAGTCCAACTCCTGGCTCCACACAGGACCCCCCCAGAATAAGGCCATGTGTCTGAGGGTGTTGTCCAAAGACTTATTGAATGCCGGTGCAGTGACTGTTTCCTTGGGGAGCCTATTCCAGTGCCTGACCCTTTCAGTGAAGAAGAAGCTTTCCCTAACACCCAGCTTGACCCTCCCCTGTCCCAGCTCCATGCCGTTCCCTCGGGTCCTGTCACTGTCCCCAGAGAGCAGAGCTCAGCGCCTGCCCCTCCGCTCCCCTCATGAGGGAGCTGCAGGCCGCCATGAGGCCTCCCCTCAGCCTGCTCTGCTCGAGGCTGAACAAACCCAGGGACCTCAGCCACTCCTCATACAACTTGCCTTCCAGACCACCCCTTCACCATCTTTGTAGCCCTCCTTTGGAGGCTCTCTAATAGTTTTAAGTCCTTTGTATTTTGTGGCAACCAAAACTGCACACAGTGCTCGAGGTGAGGCCACACTGGTGCAGAGCAGGAGAATCCCTTCCCTCACCCAGCTAGCCATGTCGTGCCTGAGGCACCCCAGGACAGGGTTGGCCCTTTTGTGCTGCTGGGGCACACTGCTGATTCATATTCAGCTTGGCATTGACCAGAAACCCCAGAACCCTTTCTGCAGGGCTGCTCTTCATCCTCTCATCCCTATCTGTATGTACAGCCAGGGTTACCCAGTCTCAGGTGCAGGATCTGGCTCTTGCTCTTGTAAGCTTTGTATTGTTGGTGATTGCCCAGCCCTCTAGTGTTTCAAGATCTTTCTTTAAGGCCTCTCTACCCTCAACAGAGTCAACAGCACCTCTTTGTTTTAGTGTCATCCATAAAATTACTTAATATACCTTTAAGTTTTGCATCCAAGTCCTTTATGAAGACATTAAAGAGAATGGACCCTAAAATGGAGCCCGGTGGAACCCTGCTAGTGGCTGGCTGCCAGCCTGATGTAACCCTGTTTACTATAACCCTTGAGCCCATCAGCCAATTGTATACCCATCATGATCACAGAATGATTCTGTGATTACATTATGCACTTATCTAGCTGTGTGGTGGACAATTTGTCCAGAAGGGTACTGTAAGAAACAATATCAAAAGCTTTACTGAAATCCAAAAAGATTACATCAACTGGCCCTTTGAAAGCATTTTGTTTCAATGCCAGGTAAAACCCAAAATATTTTTACCAGGGACACTTTTTTTTTTTTTTTTGCCTTCTGGAAGAAAAAAAAAAGATGCTACTTCCAAATAGTAGCCTACCTTTTGAATTCTTATCTATTGGCTTATTTATTTTAAAGAAAAAGCAAAAGTGAGAGTGCACCTGCTCTCCTCCATGTAGGCAAACATATTGACGTGGATTCTTTCTTTGTTTTGTTTTATTTTATTTTTCCTATTTTGGAGAAACCAGGAGTTTCATTTTGCTGCTCTGATTCACGCTTTCTTCACTTCACTTGGGGACAGCACTGGAGACAGGAATCTGAACTGACTGCCTGGTGCTTAAAAAGGTGAATAATGACTCGGAGAAGACCTTCCTCGTATCTTTTGATCTTTGGGCTTCAGACACCCCTTCACCCATAATTAACTTGTGTGTTGACTGATTACTTGAGCGATCAAGGGAGACTCAGTATGTCAGTGGAAACCAGGAAACTATTACTCTATGGTGAAACAGCAATCAAGCCAACTCGTCTATGATACAAATCAGATACCTGTGAGAACAAGCCACGTAATGGTAAGCTGTACTGGAGATGGATGATATCCTAAATCATTATCTTCAATAGTATCAATTATGTTTAAAGGGTGAGTAAGACCATGGTATCTTCATGGCAAGTGCTGCATGCAGGTAGCAGTAGCAGCAACAACAGAACTTAAAATTACAGCATGAATTTCAGAAGGGGCAATGTGCTACACTTGACTAGCCAATAAATCAAGGCCATTGGTGGATTAGATGGAGTGGAATGGTAATGGTTATCATTTTGTTGTATAAAATGCACAGCTTGGGGTATATAGATCATTTAAAATATATATGAATTTGAAATCAGCCAAAATATATGGCAGTTACATGTATTTTTCTTCTTAGAATTATGGTGTGTTTTGAAAGTGTAAGTGCTTTTCAGGACAAATTTTAGCATGTTTTGCATTCAAATGAAACATCTAGGATATTGGTGAAGCCCTTGCACACGCTGCCTGTGAGAGCAGAGGGAATCATTGGACTTGTAGTTATTTTGCACATTCTGTCAAAGTTAGCCTTTCTGCATTACGTAGCACATGAAATAGGAAAGACTTCCATTGCACAACTTTCCATAAGAGAAGTAGTGTTTACTGTCTGACACATTGCAACATGTAAACAGAGACTCAAAATAAGTCTGTATTAAAAAAAGGAACTCCAGCTGGGAAGGGATTAACTTAATAACATTTTCAGTAATCTCTTTATCAGCATTTCTGTGGCCAGTTTATGATAATAAACAGGCAAAAAAAAATATGTTTGAGATTGAAGTAAATTTCAGTCTGATATGAGTGATGTACCTCATAACCAGTTATAATTAGAAGGGAGGCTTCTTAGAGCACTGTTCCTCTATAAATCATAGCTGATATTACCCCAACTTGTACAACAACTATGAAATATGCTATGAAATGTGAAACTCTCGAAATAAGATCTTTCATTGCAATTTCATCCTCAGAAAATATGTAATTTGACAAAAGCTCATGATTTTTTTGAGGGTTTGCTTAAAAATAGGATAAACAGTCTTAATTCCCTTGAAAAATATATTAAACTTTCCATTAAGTAATGACTATTTTGTTTAATTTTATAATCAATATGTATGCAAATTGAAAGTATTGTGCATTTTGGTACAAGCTTCCTTTCTTAGAAGAGCAGATGAAAAACAAACAAAAATCCCTACTCTATGGCTTCATATTGAGCAAAACTTTACACTCTCCTTGAAGTCAGAAATGCAGGATGGTAACTTAAATTTTCCTTTCTGCTTCTGATAGAAAGTCAGCTTTGACCGGGCCTGGTGCCCGTGCAGTTTATACCAGGTGAGAACATAGAAAACATACAGGGGACAGAACCATAACAAAGAAGGGCCTTGCTGGCTTGATGTCTAAAAAGAAAACAAGAAACAAATAGATTTTTTTTGGAATGTTTTTTCTCATGTCAGGGTCTAAGTCTTTTTTCTATGATATTTTATTATATTTCCGATTGAAAACGGATGGACTTACTTACAAACTGTGTTTTCTGATGAAAACCTACCAGCCTCTCAGGACTGTTGGTATGGTAGGGTTGTAGCTGTCTCTATTGATCCTAATTTAAAGCTGTAATTGCAAATAAAAACATCATTATGTCCCCCAGCTACCTTAATTGAAAGGATTGATTCACAGGAGAAAAGCATGATAAGAACTTTCTACACGGACCAACTGCTTATGGACAATTTAACACCTTCATTTCAGCACAGCCTGGGTTGGTTCTTGCATGGAAGAATGTCCTGGGGATTGGGGAGAAACCTCTTCTCTTCCAATATCTGCCTTCTTTCATGAGTTCCACCTGAAATAAAACAGAGCATCCATCTAGGACTGTGTAGGCAGCAGGAGGGTCACTGGCTTGGTCTCCCAGTTTGTACAAGGGTACAGAGAAGCCACCAGTGCAGTTCAGTATTTGAAGGATATAGACTCCAGTTGTGTGAAAATAATAACATAACAGGTCCTAAAAGGATAGGAAGAAGTATATTATGGCTATGAATCTACTTGCTAGCCTGAAGTGGATTGATTCTTTACATCTTCATAAATTGTATTCTTTCAATCATTTCCTCATAGATGGATGTTGATATTCTTTAACCTTGCAATATGGTTTTCTCTTGGTACAATGTAAAAATGAGATAAAATCAAGTCATTTCCTTTACAGCAACAAACTTCTAATCTGAAAGTACTCATTATATTCAGTAATATTTCAAGTTGAGCCCTGAAAACATGTAGTCTGCAGAATTGCTGTGTCTATGATTTTTAAGCATATGAGATTCTGTTAGTTCGTATGACAGTCTTTTAGCTCTAGCTTACCTGCTCTTTCATGCCAAAACTTTTCTGGTCTCAGCTGATATTACAGTTCATTAAGTATGTCCTTTAATTATAAAAATAGTATAAGGATGTAGAGTATTTTGCAAAGTCTGTGTGTGAGAAAATATACAAATAAAGCTAGACAAATCTGTCTGAGGTGAATATTGCTCTGATACAAATTCCTTAAAGGAAATAGTGGAGGATTAAGATGATGAATTTTCACATGTGTTTCAGTATAGGAACCCCCTGCAAGAAACATGACTGTTTCATAACAGCCTGGGGAGGGGAACATCCAAGTCCTTCCAGGTACCAAAAGTGCTTTCAAGGATCTCAGCCCAAAAGATTAGCTCTTCTTTAGCAATTCAGGTTATTTTGTCTTCAGAGCCAAATAATTCTACTTATGTTACAGTATAACAAGCCAGTCATGTCTGCTTAATGTACTCACCTTGGAGATGCCCTGTAGGGCAAGAAATATTTTTATAATTCTGATTAAGATCAATAGGGAAAAAAAAAATGGGTTTACCTCTATGATTGACTGTAAGAGTGAGATGCCATTACTCAAGGGAACACATTTCATTGGGCAGAGTTCAAATACGTGTAACAATCTTCAATCCTTTAAAAATAAGTTACTATTTTTAAAGCATTAAACAAAACTCTTGTTTATTAGATGAAATTATCAATTGTTTTGTCTTCCAGAGGTAAACAAAGAACTGAGGGAGTCTCAAACAGTCTCTCAGTCTTATGACCTTATGGTCACTGTCCAAAATACCAGCGGTAATATTCCAGGCTGTAGAACTCAGAAGAAAAGCAGATACTCAGCAGGGTTAGCCCAGTGTCTTTCCGAGTAATCCCTTGTTTTTGCAAAACATTTCCATATGGGAAACTCGATCACATAGCAGAAATACTGAAAACAGTGTGGCCTGTTCTTTGTGTAGATACTAGTGTTGGTCGTTGAGTACCTAAAACAGCTGACAAGCCTTTGCAGCATTGCTCAACATGTCTACGTGTAAAACTGATCCGTAGTATTAGGCTCTAACCCCAGGATGGGTGGCACAGTTTGGAAGGGAAGCAGGTAGCTGGCATCAGCTGGTCTGGGGGAGTCAAGTATAGAAAGGGTCTGATGGACTGTTGCAGTTATGAAACCCTTACTCTGAACTTAATGGCAAGTTGCTTAAAAATACAAATTTGCAGCATGTACTTATGCATGGCATGGGCCAGAGGTGTAGCCCTGCATCGAAATTCTTTCCATGGGGCAAAGTTGGGATCTGGCTCTTCCCTTACCCGTTGGCAGGACTGTCTACAGCAAACTAATCCTAGAAAGCAAAGACTTAATAAAAAGTCTCAGTATCTCTCACTTTCTCTCTTTTTATAAAAGGCAAATGTGTTGCAATAATGCAGAACCATCATGCTCTCTCCGGTTACAGCTGAGTGACACTACATCAGCAGCAGAATATGTACAAATTAAACTGTAACAATGTACCAAGGAGAGGCAGAGCAATATCATAAAAATTATCCACAGCACAATATGACTAATGTTGTGTGAAATGCATTCATTGGCGAAATGATGTCTAGGTGTATCTTAAGGAGTTATGCTGATGGAGATAATGGTTATAGAACATAGATAAAGGAAGGAAAGGCGAGTGAAAGAGAAAAGGTTGCAGCAAGGGCAGGGTGGCTGCTTGGCTGAGGAGGGCTCTCAAGGAGGCAGGTTTGAATACAGGAGAGCTGTGTCCCCGTGGAGTAGAGGGGTGGGATGAGAGCTCAGCTCTACCCCTACTCGCACACCCTACCTGAAGGTGTACTTGCTGTTTCAGGTTCACGTGCTCTCCTGCATTCTCTCCTTTCATGCTTACTTTTTGCAGTCAAGCTTTTATCTCATCAAAAAATACAATCTGTATATGTTAAACATTGTCTAGCAATATTATTTATAAAAAAACCCTTTGTTTTACCCTTGTAGGTACAAAAGCAAATAAAATCCCAAAGAGAAAGGATTGATGTTTTATTTATGTCTAAAATGAAGAAGCCAGCTCAAACTTGCCAGGAGAGGGGATGGCTGGAGCAAACACTTCATTCATTGAGGTACGTTCAAAAGTCATCAACTCTGTCCTTAATCTGAGGCTCTTTCTGAAGTGAGCAAAAGTTTTGCCTGAATAAGGAACTCAGGTATTGGTAAATAAATTTGTTTTTGCTCTTTCTGTTTAACATAGATTTGGAAAAAAAAAAAAATCCTATGCTGTGACCCATCATGCATATCCACAGATGTTTACCTAGTATGCGAACATTTTGTTTTTAAAGGAACTCGGGGATTACCCTAGTAAGTCTTTTTAATAGCTAAATTCCCTTTTCCAAACCAACTGAGGTGCTTGGGAACTCATGGCTTCCTGAGTGTCTTTTAAAAACCTCTCTAAGTACTTTTAAAACTGGAGCACCAGACAGCAAAGGGGATCTGTCTGAACTGAAGTAGGTCTTTGTGATGAGCATTGCTGGGGTGCGGGGCCTGGTCTCTGGTATGGTTAGAAACTCTCAAATTACTAGAAAATGAAGGGCTTTTAAGAGTTCTTGATTAGTTTGCTACCTGGTTTGTTACAAAGTTTAGGCCCAAATCATGCAACATTACTTGTTTCTGATGTTGCAGTCATGTTGGCTATTTTTTTCTGTTTATTTTTTTTTTCTTTTTCTTTTTTCTTATTTATGTATTTGTGCAAGAACGGGAGGTAGGCCCAGCCAAAAATGTTGGAATCCAAATATTTTTGAAGTCCTGAGATATCCAGAGGTGGGAGTTCATTTTTTCTCCTTGTAAAGAAAGGGTCCCCTAGGAATACTTCCATGAGAGGTGAAATTCTCTGTAGATGTTGGGTGTGCTGGGCTGGGAGTTCCTGTTGCGCTCCAGCAGAGGAAGGGGAGATACAAGATCGGTGTCTTCAGCCCCAAGTCTGACCATGATCTGGGGGTTCTTTGTGCACCTCACAAACAGATGGCTTTGTTTCCAACCAACTACCTCCAGTCACTGCTGAGCACGTGCCAGGAACTCCCTACAAATGAGGCTGCCAAAGCCTGTGCAGCCGCGATAGCCCCCCTCCATCGGCCTGCTCAGAGCCCCCAGCTGAGCCACGTGTTTCCCCCATGGGCAGGGATTTTCCCCCTCTCCATGCTGCAGTTTTTTTTGGTTTTACAGGTCGGTGATGTCTCCCCGCAGATGAATTTCTGTCTGTCCCTCTTCTTTGGGGAAATTTATGTCAGCCGTTTGCTCTCTGCAAGGGAAAGCACGCTTCTGCTTAGCCCTGACAGGAGGGTGTGCAGCAATACAGAGAGCTCAACCTTGAAAAGGGGGAGAGGCACTCTGGGAGTTGGGCTGTTTTATATCTCGGCCGATTCTCTTCTTTCTCTCTTCCATATCCCTTTAATAGCTTGACAGGAGAAATAGAGGGAAGATACAGCCATCTGATTAACAGTGCCTGGGCTGGGGGGCCAGGGGGGATGACAGGGAAAGGGAGCGCAGGGTGGCTACCAGCCAAGTTCCAGCAAGAAACAGAATATCTGGCTGCCTCTAATCTCCAGAGGAAAATTAAGTTACAAAAACCTTTAGTGGAAACTTTGCATACGTTCAGTACCATTGCCATGCCTGACAGAAAAAACTGATATATTATTTAGTTTATAGTTATAGAATTAAAGGCATAAGCTTTCCCACCAGGAATGAAGAAAAAAATTGCCTTAAAAACAGAAGACAAAACCTTATAAACCCCTAGAACATTTGTGCTATCAGAGCTGTTGAGAAATTCTCTGTTTAGCGTTGATGGATGATCATGTGTGAACTGCACATCTGAATGTCTTCCCAGATGAGCGGGATGAATTTTTACCCTAGCCCAGGGAGAACCCATCTTGTCTGCATAGCCACCTTCTGCAGGAGCAAGGCAGGGTGAGGGTGGGTGGCTGGAGGTGAGGAAGAGGCTCCGAATTTGTTTAGGGTGGGCACAACTGGCTGAAAAAGGGGTTTAGGTTCCAAATACAGTGACCAAGCCAGGGAGCGAAGGCTGTCACTTCGGACAAGTGCTGCTCATCCTGGCATTCATCAGAAATGTGCATACTATGCAGGCAAGAGAGGAATTACTCCTCCTCTTCCATCTATGTCATCAAAGCGTTGATGAAAAATAGCAGAGTTTGATTAAAAATAAATAACACCTAGGCCATTTTATTTAATTTAAATAAGCAACCAGTAGGGAGCTATGCATATGAGATAAATAGCCTACTTACTGAATGTTACATGTAAAGCAAGCATGGTAACCATGAGGCAAATACTTGCGTGTTACCAAGTTGTGAGAGGAAGAAGCTAGATTGACTGGTTAAATCTTTCCTTAATTTAGCCTTATGTCAAGTTCATACGTGTGAAGTGAGATTTCTTTCACATTGACATGATTAAAGGATGCAGCCGTGTGGGTCAGCAGCACGTGCTTCCTTGGCCAGCTGCACTATGCTGCTTGCTCAGGGCGGTGGGACCCTGCCTCTGTTTGCTCAGAGAGGAGGAAGTAGGGATGCAATTTGCAAAGTTTCCCTCTACCTGCTTGCAAGCTAGCTTGCTTCCAACCTACATGCCAGCAGACCCTTTCTCATATGATTCATTCACCAGCTTCATCTGAAGGGAACATTTTCCACGCAGGGGAACATAAGACACATGTTTACATGCCATTTCCCCTCTGAGAGCTTTATTTCTCTTCAGCCTCAGGGACCTCAGAACCAGCCAAAACGCAGTATGGGGCTGAAATTGTACGCTGTCCGGCCCCGGCCGTCCCTGCGGCAAGCTGAGGCGTCTTTGTGTAAGCGTGTGCGAGCGTGAAAACAGATGTGTGCTGTCCAGAATAAATGATGCTATTCAGTGTCACAAAATGAACAATTTATGTTCAGTTTCAGTAATTAGTCAGACCAAAGAGTGAGGTGGGACAGAATTAAAAACTCCAAGTTTTCTTTTACCTCAAAAAAGCAACAGGGAGTTGCAGCTGATGACCAAAGATCCTGAGAGAGGGTAATTAAACAGAAACAATCTTTTATGTTTGTCTTCTTCCAGTTCCTCCTGGTTTTCTTTGTGCTCCCCTTACTCTGTCTTGGACAACAAAGCCCCTGCTTCCTTTTTGGGAGGGCAGCGTGGGGGACGGCGGCAGGGGCAGCGCTGTAGCAGGAGTTCCTCACTGCTTCGCGCAGGGCTCTCGCACCTTGCGAGGAGCTCAGCTGGCACCTCTTGGAGCTTCTAGCAATCATGCTGTAGGACCATCCAGTCGTATGACAATTTCTATTGTGATAATGGTAGCAAAAACCAACTCCCCTTACAACTCTGGATAGCTTCCAAAATACAACCCCCCCCCCCACACACACACGCTCCGTCCCTCTCAAGAGTAACTTCAAATGTTTAAGTTAAACCTCAGGAATAACTCATGCCCCAGAATTAAGCACCTCATTTTAGTAGAAATGGATCTCCTTTTGAAGGAACTGTTTTGTGTACTCGGGTGCCAGTTCTTCTGCGTCCATTGCTTCATTTGGTGTCCCAGCCCTAAGAGTCTAGATGACAAATGTGGATTCCTCAGGAGCACTTGTTAAGACCAAAGCTTTGGGATACGTGGAAGCAGGCTCTGACGTTTCTAAATGCAGGTCTGCAGCCTGGGTTGAAGTCATGAAGGCACCAGATCGTTTTAATGGGGATCACCGTGATGGTGGACCCTCTGAAGCGATATAAAAAGCAGGGAAGCTTTTTCTGACTTGTGCATCGTGGGCGTGCTTAGTGAAGCTGGCTCTAACAGCGTTTTCTTATGTGTAGGTATGAGGACGAGACATGGAAAAGGGGGAAGGAATGGTTGGGAGTTCCTCAAGGAACGCGTTTTAGTGAAACAAAAGATGACATTTAAATACGGGGTTTGTTTCACTGCAGATTTTTGGCAGTAGACAGGGCGCTTACTGGAATGAAATTCTGTGGAGTTGGCAAGGCTTTGGGAGATGGTGCCCAGGTGCAGTATATTGGTGCTGCCTCCTGAAGATCAGCTCTGACTTGACTCAGGCACTTTGTTGTTTCCATGCAACTGCTCAGCATGAGAAAGAAATAACAAACAAACAAAGAAGGAAAGCAATGTATGTACCTCCGTACCCACTTCCTTTCACTGCAGTCTGTCACAGAATCACAGAATGTGTCACAGGTTGGAAGGGACCTCCAGAGATCATCTGGTCCAGCCCCCCTGTTCAAGCAGGGTCACCCCAAGCACGTTACATGGGATCACATCCAGACGGGTTTTGAGCATCTCCAAAGAAGACACTCCACAAGCTCTCTGAGCAGCCTGTTGCAGTGCTCTGTCATCTGAACCGTAAAGAAGTTCTTCCTCATAAGAGGGTGAAACCTCCTCCTCGTGGCTCTGTTTCGCTTGCAAAGAAATCCATTCTGAAATCCACCAGCTGAATCGGGAACAATTCTTAATGTAACGTGTCAAACTTAGCACGTGTACAGAAGGTCCAGCGCCTAACTCAGAAATAATTCTTTAAAGTCAAGCAACAGGGCTTTGGTTGAAACAACATGGGAAGCTCCTCCTGTTCTGTATTCTGGGGAATACACTTTTCCCTGCAGTGTATTCCCCAGGACATTTAGTACCTGTTGGCTGAACGCAAACGCACAACAGAGGGTACCCCAACACAGACGGGCAGCAGGTTCTTGTGCGTCACCTTTGAGCCCGAGCCTGAGCACGGAGCTGCTTTACGAAGCCCAGGTATGGCATTGCAACTCCAGACTTCTGAGTTCACTTGCTGATTCTCTCCCTCTCTAGGTCCAAAAATGTCCACGTTGGATTTCTCCCTTAATTCCCCATTCTGAAAGAAGGGCTTGGCCTAGTAGAGAGTCCTTCAATAGTTTTGTTGGCCAAAGAGCTGTAGCCTGAAAGTCAGAAGTCTCCGTCATCCTACAGGAAGAGAGAACACGTCAGGGGCAAATTGCCTGACGTTTGGATATTTCTCTTAATTATCAAGACCAACCAACCACACGCAAAACAGCCAACATGCATAAATGAAAGAAAGCCAAGCACGGCGTGCCAGAGCTGGTCCAACAGTTGTTCTGGTTAGCTCTAAGAGAGAATTTGAAGTTAGCTAAGGAGTGGAGAATAAGAATGACAAAGTGATGCTCTCTCTGAGGGCTCTTAGTATCTACGGCCATGGTCCGCCCAAGATCTTGTCTCTGAGGACCCCAAGTTCTTTCTGGACGTGGTTCTGCAGCAGCAGCAGGTTCTGCCCCGGGGGTCTCTGGCTGGTGTATTGGGGTAAGGAAAGCCGGGGTGCCAGCTTGGCTGTCTCGGTTTCCGTATGCCCATAGATGGAGACAGTAACCTGGCAACTGTGGGCTTATTGTGTGCTCATAATGCAGCCAGGACAGGATAAAAGGCAGCGCCTCCTCCTGCGGTCATCACTTCTTGGAAGTGCAGCTGTGACGAACGAGGTAGGATAAGGCTCGTCTCCAGTGTTTCCACCGGCTTGTCTCCAACAGTTCCATCCTGTGAACTGGCGATCAAGCTTCACGTTCGTTAGTCAGATGAGACCAGTGAATACGAGAGCGTTTAAATTTGCCTTCCTTTTAACAGGCACGAGATGAGTGCAGCGATGTCACAGGGTGAACGGTCCACTGGGAAGACCCTAGCGGTAAGATTAGCTCCTTCAAACTGCACCAGTTCATGCACTTTTTTGGATCTGGGTGGTCTAGTGCAAAGCTTGATACTGTTCATATGAGAAATGGGCGAAAAAAGGGGGCAAAAGAAACAAAAAGTGAAATGCTGCGGATACTTGAGGCTCTGCTTACCTGCAGCAGAAACTGCAAGCTCTTCATGTGGTGGTGTCGGAAGCGTGCAGGTAGCTCTCACGCGCGCTTTCAGGGAGTCTTTAGCGGAGACAAGATCCTCTAGTACCATGGGCAGTGAATATTGGTCCCCAGATAGAGGGAGAAGCAGCTTCTGTTCCTCTCTCGCATCCCCCTGCCTCTCTTCCCAGCATGGTCATAAAGTAAGGGCTCGGCTGCTCTCTGTTCTGTCCTTTCCTCTGGGTCCTGGGGGCTGGACTGCAGTGCTTGGGAAAAGGCATCGGCTTGAATGAGTTACGGCCCCATGGGCAACGTGTCGGTCCTTCTCCCACAGTGGACGTACTTCATTTAAACACAATAACTTCACGAGTGGCCAGCCAAAGTTAGGAATCACGGTCAGCAAAGATGGTGTGAAATGCTAAAGGCCATTGAAGCCCAACTCCAAATCTCTCTGGTTGTTCTTATTCCCCCAATTTTTCCCTGCATTTTCATAAAGGCTAAGAAGGCTCTACGAAGCCCAGGAAGCAATACTGTCTACTGACAGTAACAAAGTAAGCAAACAAACAAAAGTCCAGTCAGTCCAACACTGCAGGCTGAAGCTCAGTCTGAAATACAAGCTATGTCACGATGTGCCTGTTGCATTGGCAGGGCACGATGGAGTCACGGGACGTGACCCCTGCAGAAGGGCTCTCTCCAGCTCCTCGTGAAGAAACGGGAGTCCGCCAGTGCCACAAGCCCCAGCGTGGTGCGCCAGCGCCCACCAGTGCCACGGGCACGGTCACGTTCACGGAAGAGACGCATCCGTGTCAAATCCGTGGAAAGTACTGCGGGCACACGGTCGGCTCATGGAGACGATCGAGGAGGAGCCCCTGGACAGCTCGGGCGAGATCGAAACCTTCCCCGTTGCTGTCAAGGAGGTTGAGAGCCACTTGGAGAGCCTGGGTGTCAGGAAGGTGAGTGCAAGAAGGTTCTGCAGTTGAGAATGATTCCCCCACTATCCCTGTGGCCTTGTGATTCTAGCACTTCTGAAAACATGAGGCAAGCGTGTGCAACTGTGCCAAATCTCCTTGTTTTGCAAGGAGACCACGGGAAATGGAAAGTGCGAGCTACTGCTAAGCACGCTGGTGCGATGAGCTATCAGCTAAGCAGCACATGAATGCACCATTCACAACCTGCAGTGCCACAGAAATTGCCCATAGAGCATCCTGGAGAACACTGCTGCCAGAACAGCACCCCCTTCCAATGTGCTGCTGCTTCATGTCATTTCTGCCCCCGAGAACCCTATCGGTCTCCTACCAGGAGCTTCTAACTCCCATCCCCTTGACGTCTTCTAACAGGGAGCAGAGAGTGCGAGGACCTCCCTGTCACCAGCTCGGACTAGCGAGCCTGAGAGCAATCCAGGCGTAGCGGAGTCCACTGTTAAGAGGAGGAGGGCAGTCTCTGAGACGCTCTCAGAAACCGGAGAAAACAGCAATGCCAAAGGTGAGTCTGACCACTTGGATCTGCTTTCTTGCTTTAGTTGAGTGCACTCGATCTCTATTTTGACGAGGGGCAACCACATTCGTGTCATCACGTGTCATCAGGAAAAGAACGTGGTGTTCTTATCGATGCCAAAGAAGCTTTTTGGCTCTCTCCGTTTTATCTTTGTGTTATGGAGGAGTGCCCGAAGCCCATTAAACACTTTTGGAGCAAAACACAACAGAACGGTCTCCTATGTTTAGAGAAGATAACTTATGATGAAGACAACCCAAATCTAAAACTGTGATACCAAAACTATGGGCAGCATTCATCAATGATGAAAAAGCAGGAACTTGCTCTTCTCAGTTGGTGAAGATAGTTTGGATTTGGAGAGGTGTTGCTTTCGTAACAACACCTTAGCTTTTAAGCGTGGCTTTCCGGTTTCCACAAGTCGAATGCTCTGTGCTTGATGTGTTCTAACGTAAAAGTTGTTGAACGGCTGCTGAAAAGTTGGTGTTCCTGTTCGTTTTGCCTACTGCTTTTCTTTCAAGATTCGAAACACGTGCACCCATGTCCCTCTCCCCAACTATGATGTCTGTTTGTAGTTTCAGGGGGTGGTCGCAGACCTCTGAGAGGACTTCGAGAAGCGCGCCCTCCGAAGCCTGGCAAGACGCTGCAGCTCTTTGAGGAGAATGTCTCCTTAAAGGATAAAGAGGCTCTTTCTCAAGCTGCAGCGTCTGAAGCAGAGAAGAGGAGCTGCTTTGCCAATAATGTAAGATTGCAATGTCTCATTCTCTTCTTAATTCTACGTTTGCTTTGCACAGGGTCAGACCCTAAAATACTGTCTGTATTTCTACAAGCAAGCTATCAGATGGCTCACGGGGTGGATCAAAATTTAAATCCGAAATTAGGAAACTTAGATAGCAAACAGAGTCATCCTTCAGTCTGTCTCTACCAAATGAGATTTTTCATGCTACATGCCTCTGGTCTTTTGGGCAATCCCTTTTCATTCACGGAATTGCTCTTCTTTGTAGTCCACCTTTGCCAGAACCTCATTTATGAGGGCCCTAGGCGTGAGAGAGAGCAGCAATGCGGTTATCCTATTTGCTCGTGTTCACCAAAAACGGCAGCTTCTTTAGCACAACAAATATTCTTTATTGACAAATAATAAAATCCCCTTCAGATGCACCGTGAGCTTAGAGCTCTTGGTGCTCAAACGGAAGGATTTGAAATCGCTGCGTTATAAACCAGCGGCCGTTTCAGATAAGGTACGGGAAGAGTGCAGGTGTTTTCAAACCACACAGTTCCTGCCCGCTGGCTTCTTGATTTCCTCATCACTTTGGCGTATTCGGAGCAGATTCCTGCGGTTCCTTGGGCAGAGCAGGTTCAAATTCCCTCCTCCTGACACTGCAAAGAATGCTGCAGTTAGCTCTGTGTCCCCAAAAGGAAGAACTGTAGGAAGGCTGGCCCAAGTGAACTGTGTGGAGAACATAGGAACCGCTTCATTTACACTCTAGAAGCCCCTTGCCCTTTCTTGTTGACATGGACAGTACGTTCTTGCTACCAATGGAAACCACCTGGCCTTATTTAATCCCTCTAGATTTCCGAGGAGACCAAGGCCTGCACTGCGCCTGGCGGCCTGGGCAGCAGTCAGGAGGCACTCTGAGGACAGGCAGACCGCCTCCTCGAGGATGAGCGATGCTCGTTGCCAGCAGGAGCAGAAAACTGCACAGGTAACAATGCCATTTGTAATAGTTACCAAGGAGGTCTTCTATGCTAAAGAGCTTGACGGGAAAAATACCATGATTTGCTTGGAAAGGTGTGTGCTTTTAGTTCGAGGTATCTTCCCGTGTAAGTTAGAAATGCGTAAGATTAGACATCGGTTCATCTCATACAGTCTGAATTCCGATTTTCACTATGCAGTTGCAATTTTAAATGTAAGCTGTGAAAGTGGTGGGAATAAAGGAAGCTTAGCAATCAGGGGCACATAAAGAAGTATTTAGTACAGTCTGTAATTCAGCAAGTATTTCTACTGTGTGACAAACACAACTAAAGAAGAAGTCAATGAACACTTGTGCTTTTCCTTTCCTTCTCTGCTGAAGGCAATCTCTTCTTTCCTTGTTTTCGTTCTCTAAATGTGTGTATTTTCTGTCACCAGTTTCTCAGATACACAGAATCTGTCCACTGGAGAAGTGATGAAAAGTGCCCAAAAGTTGAAGGCGGTATGAACCAGCCATTTATAGCGGCAGAGAAGATGGAAGCGCTAAGACAGCCAAAATCTACAATGTCTTCAGTGGCTTCCAGAATGAAAGCAATTAATGCAATCCTCAAGAATCAACAGCTTCCTATAAGATGCCCACGCCATCTTGAAGCTGGTGGACCAAATCCGGAGTGCAAAAGAAAGGAATCCTCTGTGATCCAGGTGTTTCCGAATCTTAAGGAGCCACAGAGGAGGGAGCCATTACGCCAGCCGATAAAGAAAATCAATTCTGCAGCTTCCAGACTGAAGGCCATCAATGAAATGCACAAGAGCCAAAGTAATCTTCTAGGATGGCCAAACCAGCAAGAAGCTGCTTTAGTGGCTTACGATATGCAGTGGCGTGAAACCCCAGAATGCGATGGAAAGAACAAAGACTGAAGCCCTCGCAGGGCCACGTGTTGTGCAGCAATGCACATCACGTTTCCAATAAAAACCTGTATGACTTAAAAGTAACAGACTTGTCTGAATTTTTGCTGCCTGTCTCTCCTCCCTCCTTCAAGATTTCCCTCGTGCAAGATGCTATCAGGACAAGGCGTGAAGTTGGATGTGTAAGACAGATTAAGAAGATTTTTGTCAACATTGGTACCCCAGTAAGTGCTGTGAGTAATGTGCAAGCTAGAGAAAGCGAGCCCCAAATCCCATTTTGATTCGGAAAGGCAGCTGGAGCAGAATTATGTAAAACTCTGTCTCAGACAGTACCAGAGTTTTGACAAGTGCATTTTGTGACGTGACCCTGCTGAGTGTGAGCCAGCACGGAGGCAGGAGCCGGGCAGGTGAGCTACTGTGTTGCGTGAAACACCGTGTTGACAGCGGTGCTCATGTATAGGCTGTAGGGCTTCGCGTGAAAGATCTTTCCTACCCAGTAGAAGGCAGTGCTTGATATTTTCAGTTAAACAGAGTGAAGGGTGGTCCCAATGACAAGGATCACGAGCTGCCGGGCTGTTTTCCGTGTCTGCTGTTACAAAGCTAAGGCTGTTTGTCTTCTTCCAGTTCCTCCTGGTTTTCTTTGTGCTCCCCTTACTCTGTCTTGGACAACAAAGCCCCTGCTTCCTTTTTGGGAGGGCAGCGTGGGGGCGGCGGCAGGGGCAGCGCTGTAGCAGGAGTTCCTCACTGCTTCGCGCAGGGCTCTCGCACCTTGCGAGGAGCTCAGCTGGCACCTCTTGGAGCTTCTAGCAATCATGCTGTAGGACCGTCCACTCGTATGACAGTTTTTATTGTGATAATGGGAGCAAAAACCAACTCCCCTTACAACTCTGGATAGCCTCCAAAATACAACCCCCCCCCACACACACTCCGTCTCTCTAAAAAGTAACTTCAAATGTTTAAGTTAAACCTCAGGAATAACTCATGCCCCAGAATTAAGCACCTCATTTTAGTAGAAATGGATCTCCTTTTGAAGGAACTGTTTTGTGTACTCGGGTACCAGTTCTTCTGCGTCCATTGCTTCATTTGGTGTCCCAGCCCTAAGAGTCTAGATGACAAATGTGGATTCCTCAGGAGCATTTGTTAAGACCAAAGCTTTGGGATACGTGGAAGCAGGCTCTGACGTTTCTAAATGCAGGTCTCCAGCCTGGGTTGAAGTCATGAAGGCACCAGATCGTTTTAATGGGGATCACCGTGATGGTGGACCCTCTGAAGTGATATAAAAGACAGGGAAGCTTTTTCCGACTTGTGCATCGTGGGCGTGCTTAGTGAAGCTGGCTCTAACAGCGTTTTCTTATGTGTAGGTATGAGGACGAGACATGGAAAAGGGGGAAGGAATGGTTGGGAGTTAACTCAATGAATGCTCAGCATGAAAAAGAAAAAACAAACAAATCTGGAAAGCAATGTATGTACCTCCGTACCCACTTCCTTTCACTGCAGTCTGTCACAGAATCACAGAATGTGTCACAGGTTGGAAGGGACCTCCAGAGATCATCTGGTCCAGCCCCCCTGTTCAAGCAGGGTCACCCCAAGCACGTTACATGGGATCCCATCCAGACGGGTTTTGAGCATCTCCCAAGAAGACACTCCACAAGCTCTCTGAGCAGCCTGTTGCAGTGCTCTGTCATCTGAACCGTAAAGAAGTTCTTCCTCATAAGAGGATGAAACCTCCTCCTCGTGGCTCTGTTTCACTTGCTCAGAAATCCATTCTGAAACCCACCAGCTGAACCGGGAACAATTACTAATGTAATGTGTCTAACTGTGGGTGACCCGTTTGGTGATAATCTGGAGCTGAGTAATAATAGAGCGGTGCACTAAAAGTGAGGAGGGAGGTGGCTCGGGGACATGGTGTGGCAAACAGCTAGAGAGGAGGAAGTTGGAAGTGATGGGAGGAGGTTCCGGGATCTGGTGGAGCCAATAAAACGACCCATCTACGACATGTCTGGTGGGGAAGCCGATGGCTAACAAAGACTGGACTGTCTGCTAGTGAAGTGCAAGCGCCTCTAGAGCCACAGGAATGAGATATCCTGGGATGCGTAAGAGCAACAGCATGTGTAAGGTTCAATTGCTTGAGAAAGAAAGAAATCATGAAAGAAATGGTCAAGGCCACACTTGCTCCTTATTGCAATGCATCTCTTTGGTGTAATTACACAAAACTAGAATAGCATCGTTCCTTGCGCCAGGAACCGCTCTGCTCGGCTGTGGGATCGACTGTGGAACAGATGCCCATCAGTGCACCCCAAGCATTTTCCTCGGAGGGGTCTCCGCTCTCAGCTGCTCACCAGGACCTCCTGAAGCTGTGGACAAATGATATTAAGTGATATTTTCTTGTGGTATGAATGAGAATTGCAAGAGGCCTCTCTGCATGGCGGTGTGGTAGTGCTGTGCGAGTGAGATGCAGCATCTCTGCGAAGCAACATCCCTAGTGCTTAGTGGTTTGTTGAGTGATGTAGATTCTAGTAGGCACGCTGCTTTTACGTAACTCTGCATGTGATTTTCAGTTTGTTGCTTCTTGTACCGTGCATCCTGCAATATCTGCGGTGATTGTTAGGCAATCTATCGAAAGCATTTGGTTAATCAAAAATAAAAAAGGGGGAATTGTGGAAAAGGAATTTGCAGGTAGCTCTGCGCTGTTTCACACGTCCCCGAATGAGAGATAATGAGGAAAGCAGCAGTAGAAACAAAAACTTGAGCAAGGTTGAGATAAAGGCAGTTGGCTACAGTGTTGAAGATGATCTCTGGGGCAGTGGCCAACTGCTGGCTGGCTCGAAGCACGTGTCTGAGGGTCTCTAACCAATTGTATGAGAGATTTGGGCACGTGGACAGCGCGTGGAGCTACGGGGAAAGTATATGTAGTAGTGAAAAAGGGCAAGAAAGGCCTCGTGTTGAAGAGCCATCAGGAGTCTGTGTCTTGCATCCCTTCACCTAGCTTAGCACGTGTACAGAGGTCCAGCGCCTAACTCAGAAATAATTCTTTAAAGTCAAGCAACAGGGCTTTGGTTGAAACAACATGGGAAGCTCCTCCTGTTCTGTATTCTGGGGGAATACACTTTTCCCTGCAGTGTATTCCCCAGGACATTTAGTACCTGTTGGCTGAACACAAACGCACAACAGAGGGTACCCCAACACAGACGGGCAGCAGGTTCTTGTGCGTCACCTTTGAGCCCGAGCCTGAGCACGGAGCTGCTTTACGAAGCCCAGGTATGGCATTGCAACTCCAGACTTCTGAGTTCACTTGCTGATTCTCTCCCTCTCTGGGTCCAAAAATGTCCACGTTGGGTTTCTCCCTTAATTCCCCATTCTGAAAGAATGGGTTGGCCTAGTAGAGAGTCCTTCAATAGTTTTGTTGGCCAAAGAGCTGTAGCCTGAAAGTCAGAAGTCTCCGTCATCCTACAGGAAGAGAGAACACGTCAGGGGCAAATTGCCTGACGTTTGGATCTTTCTCTTAATTATCAAGACCAACCAACCACACGCAAAACGGCCAACATGCATAAATGAAAGAAAGCCAAGCACGGCGTGCCAGAGCTGGTCCAACAGTTGTTCTGGTTAGCTCTAAGAGAGAATTTGAAGTTAGCTAAGGAGTGGAGAATAAGAATGACAAAGTGATGCTCTCTCTGAGGGCTCTTAGTATCTACGGCCATGGTCCGCCCAAGATCTTGTCTCTGAGGACCCCAAGTTCTTTCTGGACGTGGTTCTGCAGCAGCAGCAGGTTCTGCCCCGGGGGTCTCTGGCTGGTGTATTGGGGTAAGGAAAGCCGGGGTGCCAGCTTGGCTGTCTCGGTTTCCGTATGCCCATAGATGGAGACAGTAACCTGGCAACTGTGGGCTTATTGTGTGCTCATAATGCAGCCAGGCAGGATAAAAGGCAGCGCCTCCTCCTGCGGTCATCACTTCTTGGAAGTGCAGCTGTGACGAACGAGGTAGGATAAGGCTCGTCTCCAGTGTTTCCACCAGCTTGTCTCCAACAGTTCCATCCTGTGAACTGGCGATCAAGCTTCACGTTCGTTAGTCAGATGAGACCAGTGAATACGAGAGCGTTTAAATTTGCCTTCCTTTTAACAGGCACGAGATGAGTGCAGCGATGTCACAGGGTGAACGGTCCACTGGGAAGACCCTAGCGGTAAGATTAGCTCCTTCAGACTGCACCAGTTCATGCACTTTTTTGGATCTGGGTGGTCTAGTGCAAAGCTTGATACTGTTCATATGAGAAATGGGCGAAAAAAGGGGGCAAAAGAAACAAAAAGTGAAATGCTGCGGATACTTGAGGCTCTGCTTACCTGCAGCAGAAACTGCAAGCTCTTCATGTGGTGGTGTCGGAAGCGTGCAGGTAGCTCTCACGCGCGCTTTCAGGGAGTCTTTAGCGGAGACAAGATCCTCTAGTACCATGGGCAGTGAATATTGGTCCCCAGATAGAGGGAGAAGCAGCTTCTGTTCCTCTCTCGCATCCCCCTGCCTCTCTTCCCAGCATGGTCATAAAGTAAGGGCTCGGCTGCTCTCTGTTCTGTCCTTTCCTCTGGGTCCTGGGGGCTGGACTGCAGTGCTTGGGAAAAGGCATCGGCTTGAATGAGTTACGGCCCCATGGGCAACGTGTCGGTCCTTCTCCCACAGTGGACGTACTTCATTTAAACACAATAACTTCACGAGTGGCCAGCCAAAGTTAGGAATCACGGTCAGCAAAGATGGTGTGAAATGCTAAAGGCCATTGAAGCCCAACTCCAAATCTCTCTGGTTGTTCTTATTCCCCCAATTTTTCCCTGCATTTTCATAAAGGCTAAGAAGGCTCTACGAAGCCCAGGAAGCAATACTGTCTACTGACAGTAACAAAGTAAGCAAACAAACAAAAGTCCAGTCAGTCCAACACTGCAGGCTGAAGCTCAGTCTGAAATACAAGCTATGTCACGATGTACCTGTTTCATTGGCAGGGCACGATGGAGTCACGGGACGTGACCCCGCAGAAGGGCTCTCTCCAGCTCCTCGTGAAGAAACGGGAGTCCGCCAGTGCCACAAGCCCCAGCGTGGTGCGCCAGCGCCCACCAGTGCCACGGGCACGGTCACGTTCACGGAAGAGACGCATCCGTGTCAAATCCGTGGAAATACTGCGGGCACACGGTCGGCTCATGGAGACGATCGAGGAGGAGCCCCTGGACAGCTCGGGCGAGATCGAAACCTTCCCCGTTGCTGTCAAGGAGGTTGAGAGCCACTTGGAGAGCCTGGGTGGCAGGAAGGTGAGTGCAAGAAGGTTCTGCAGTTGAGAATGATTCCCCCACTATCCCTGTGGCCTTGTGATTCTAGCACTTCTGAAAACATGAGGCAAGCGTGTGCAACTGTGCCAAATCTCCTTGTTTTGCAAGGAGAGCACGGGAAATGGAAAGTGCGAGATACTGCTAAGCACGCTGGTGCGATGAGCTATCAGCTAAGCAGCACATGAATGCACCATTCACAACCTGCAGTGCCACAGAAATTGCCCATAGAGCATCCTGGAGAACACTGCTGCCAGAACAGCACCCCCTTCCAATGTGCTGCTGCTTCATGTCATTTCTGCCCCCGAGAACCCTATCGGTCTCCTACCAGGAGCTTCTAACTCCCATCCCCTTGACGTCTTCTAACAGGGAGCAGAGAGTGCGAGGACCTCCCTGTCACCAGCTCGGACTAGCGAGCCTGAGAGCAATCCAGGCGTAGCGGAGTCCACTGTTAAGAGGAGGAGGGCAGTCTCTGAGACGCTCTCAGAAACCGGAGAAAACAGCAATGCCAAAGGTGAGTCTGACCACTTGGATCTGCTTTCTTGCTTTAGTTGAGTGCACTCGATCTCTATTTTGACGAGGGGCAACCACATTCGTGTCATCACGTGTCATCAGGAAAAGAACGTGGTGTTCTTATCGATGCCAAAGAAGCTTTTTGGCTCTCTCCGTTTTATCTTTGTGTTATGGAGGAGTGCCCGAAGCCCATTAAACACTTTTGGAGCAAAACACAACAGAACGGTCTCCTATGTTTAGAGAAGATAACTTATGATGAAGACAACCCAAATCTAAAACTGTGATACCAAAACTATGGGCAGCATTCATCAATGATGAAAAAGCAGGAACTTGCTCTTCTCAGTTGGTGAAGATAGTTTGGATTTGGAGAGGTGTTGCTTTCGTAACAACACCTTAGCTTTTAAGCGTGGCTTTCCGGTTTCCACAAGTCGAATGCTCTGTGCTTGATGTGTTCTAACGTAAAAGTTGTTGAACGGCTGCTGAAAAGTTGGTGTTCCTGTTCGTTTTGCCTACTGCTTTTCTTTCAAGATTCGAAACACGTGCACCCATGTCCCTCTCCCCAACTATGATGTCTGTTTGTAGTTTCAGGGGGTGGTCGCAGACCTCTGAGAGGACTTCGAGAAGCGCGCCCTCCGAAGCCTGGCAAGACGCTGCAGCTCTTTGAGGAGAATGTCTCCTTAAAGGATAAAGAGTCTCTTTCTCAAGCTGCAGCGTCTGAAGCAGAGAAGAGGAGCTGCTTTGCCAATAATGTAAGATTGCAATGTCTCATTCTCTTCTTAATTCTACGTTTGCTTTGCACAGGGTCAGACCCTAAAATACTGTCTGTATTTCTACAAGCAAGCTATCAGATGGCTCACGGGGTGGATCAAAATTTAAATCCGAAATTAGGAAACTTAGATAGCAAACAGAGTCATCCTTCAGTCTGTCTCTACCAAATGAGATTTTTCATGCTACATGCCTCTGGTCTTTTGGGCAATCCCTTTTCATTCATGGAATTGCTCTTCTTTGTAGTCCACCTTTGCCAGAACCTCATTTATGAGGGCCCTAGGCGTGAGAGAGAGCAGCAATGCGGTTATCCTATTTGCTCGTGTTCACCAAAAACGGCAGCTTCTTTAGCACAACAAATATTCTTTATTGACAAATAATAAAATCCCCTTCAGATGCACCGTGAGCTTAGAGCTCTTGGTGCTCAAACGGAAGGATTTGAAATCGCTGCGTTATAAACCAGCGGCCGTTTCAGATAAGGTACGGGAAGAGTGCAGGTGTTTTCAAACCACACAGTTCCTGCCCGCTGGCTTCTTGATTTCCTCATCACTTTGGCGTATTCGGAGCAGATTCCTGCGGTTCCTTGGGCAGAGCAGGTTCAAATTCCCTCCTCCTGACACTGCAAAGAATGCTGCAGTTAGCTCTGTGTCCCCAAAAGGAAGAACTGTAGGAAGGCTGGCCCAAGTGAACTGTGTGGAGAACATAGGAACCGCTTCATTTACCCTCTAGAAGCCCTTGCCCTTTCTTGTTGACATGGACAGGACGTTCTTGCTACCAATGGAAACCACCTGGCCTTATTTAATCCCTCTAGATTTCCGAGGAGACCAAGGCCTGCACTGCGCCTGGCGGCCTGGCAGCAGTCAGGAGGCACTCTGAGGACAGGCAGACCGCCTCCTCGAGGATGAGCGATGCTCGTTGCCAGCAGGAGCAGAAAACTGCACAGGTAACAATGCCATTTGTAATAGTAACCAAGGAGGTCTTCTATGCTAAAGAGCTTGAGGGAAAAATACCATGATTTGCTTGGAAAGGTGTGTGCTTTTAGTTCGAGGTATCTTCCCGTGTAAGTTAGAAATGCGTAAGATTAGACATCGGTTCATCTCATACAGTCTGAATTCCGATTTTCACTATGCAGTTGCAATTTTAAATGTAAGCCGTGAAAGTGGTGGGAATAAAGGAAGCTTAGCAATCAGGGGCACATAAAGAAGTATTTAGTACAGTCTGTAATTCAGCAAGTATTTCTACTGTGTGACAAACACAACTAAAGAAGAAGTCAATGAACACTTGTGCTTTTCCTTTCCTTCTCTGCTGAAGGCAATCTCTTCTTTCCTTGTTTTCGTTCTCTAAATGTGTGTATTTTCTGTCACCAGTTTCTCAGATACACAGAATCGTCCACTGGAGAAGTGATGAAAAGTGCCCAAAAGTTGAAGGCGGTATGAACCAGCCATTTATAGCGGCAGAGAAGATGGAAGCGCTAAGACAGCCAAAATCTACAATGTCTTCAGTGGCTTCCAGAATGAAAGCAATTAATGCAATCCTCAAAAATCAACAACTTCCTGTAAGAGGTCCACGCCATCTTGAAGCTGGTGCACCAAATCCGGAGTGCAAAAGAAAGGAATCCTCTGTGATCCAGGTGTTTCCGAATCTTAAGGAGCCACAGAGGAGGGAGCCATTGCGCCAGCCGATAAAGAAAATCAATTCTGCAGCTTCCAGACTGAAGGCCATCAATGAAATGCACAAGAGCCAAAGTAATCTTCTAGGATGGCCAAACCAGCAAGAAGCTGCTTTAGTGGCTTACGATATGCAGTGGCGTGAAACCCCAGAATGCGATGGAAAGAACAAAGATGAAGCCCTCGCAGGCCACGTGTTGTGCAGCAATGCACATCACGTTTCCAATAAAAACCTGTAATGACTTAAAAGTAACAGACTTGTCTGAATTTTTGCTGCCTGTCTCTCCTCCCTCCTTCAAGATTTCCCTCGTGCAAGATGCTGTCAGGACAAGGCGTGAAGTTGGATGTGTAAGACAGATTAAGAAGATTTTTGTCAACATTGGTACCCCAGTAAGTGCTGTGAGTAATGTGCAAGCTAGAGAAAGCGAGCCCCAAATCCCATTTTGATTCGGAAAGGCAGCTGGAGCAGAATTATGTAAAACTCTGTGTCAGACAGTACCAGAGTTTTGACAAGTGCATTTTGTGACGTGACCCTGCTGAGTGTGAGCCAGCACGGAGGCAGGAGCCGGGCAGGTGAGCTACTGTGTTGCGTGAAACACCGTGTTGACAGCGGTGCTCATGTATAGGCTGTAGGGCTTCGCGTGAAAGATCTTTCCTACCCAGTAGAAGGCAGTGCTTGATATTTTCAGTTAAACAGAGTGAAGGGTGGTCCCAATGACAAGGATCACGAGCTGCCGGGCTGTTTTCCGTGTCTGCTGTTACAAAGCTAAGGCTGTTTGTCTTCTTCCAGTTCCTCCTGGTTTTCTTTGTGCTCCCCTTACTCTGTCTTGGACAACAAAGCCCCTGCTTCCTTTTTGGGAGGGCAGCGTGGGGGCGGCGGCAGGGGCAGCGCTGTAGCAGGAGTTCCTCACTGCTTCGCGCAGGGCTCTCGCACCTTGCGAGGAGCTCAGCTGGCACCTCTTGGAGCTTCTAGCAATCATGCTGTAGGACCGTCCACTCGTATGACAGTTTTTATTGTGATAATGGGAGCAAAAACCAACTCCCCTTACAACTCTGGATAGCCTCCAAAATACAACCCCCCCCCCCACACACACTCCGTCTCTCTAAAAAGTAACTTCAAATGTTTAAGTTAAACCTCAGGAATAACTCATGCCCCAGAATTAAGCACCTCATTTTAGTAGAAATGGATCTCCTTTTGAAGGAACTGTTTTGTGTACTCGGGTACCAGTTCTTCTGCGTCCATTGCTTCATTTGGTGTCCCAGCCCTAAGAGTCTAGATGACAAATGTGGATTCCTCAGGAGCATTTGTTAAGACCAAAGCTTTGGGATACGTGGAAGCAGGCTCTGACGTTTCTAAATGCAGGTCTCCAGCCTGGGTTGAAGTCATGAAGGCACCAGATCGTTTTAATGGGGATCACCGTGATGGTGGACCCTCTGAAGCGATATAAAAAACAGGGAAGCTTTTTCCGACTTGTGCATCGTGGGCGTGCTTAGTGAAGCTGGCTCTAACAGCGTTTTCTTATGTGTAGGTATGAGGACGAGACATGGAAAAGGGGGAAGGAATGGTTGGGAGTTAACTCAATGAATGCTCAGCATGAAAAAGAAAAAACAAACAAATCTGGAAAGCAATGTATGTACCTCCGTACCCACTTCCTTTCACTGCAGTCTGTCACAGAATCACAGAATGTGTCACAGGTTGGAAGGGACCTCCAGAGATCATCTGGTCCAGCCCCCCTGTTCAAGCAGGGTCACCCCAAGCACGTTACATGGGATCCCATCCAGACGGGTTTTGAGCATCTCCCAAGAAGACACTCCACAAGCTCTCTGAGCAGCCTGTTGCAGTGCTCTGTCATCTGAACCGTAAAGAAGTTCTTCCTCATAAGAGGATGAAACCTCCTCCTCGTGGCTCTGTTTCACTTGCTCAGAAATCCATTCTGAAATCCACCAGCTGAACCGGGAACAATTACTAATGTAATGTGTCTAACTGTGGGTGACCCGTTTGGTGATAATCTGGAGCTGAGTAATAATAGAGCGGTGCACTAAAAGTGAGGAGGGAGGTGGCTCGGGGACATGGTGTGGCAAACAGCTAGAGAGGAGGAAGTTGGAAGTGATGGGAGGAGGTTCCGGGATCTGGTGGAGCCAATAAAACGACCCATCTACGACATGTCTGGTGGGGAAGCCGATGGCTAACAAAGACTGGACTGTCTGCTAGTGAAGTGCAAGCGCCTCTAGAGCCACAGGAATGAGATATCCTGGGATGCGTAAGAGCAACAGCATGTGTAAGGTTCAATTGCTTGAGAAAGAAACAAATCATGAAAGAAATGGTCAAGGCCACACTTGCTCCTTATTGCAATGCATCTCTTTGGTGTAATTACACAAAACTAGAATAGCATCGTTCCTTGCGCCAGGAACCGCTCTGCTCGGCTGTGGGATCGACTGTGGAACAGATGCCCATCAGTGCACCCCAAGCATTTTCCTCGGAGGGGTCTCCGCTCTCAGCTGCTCACCAGGACCTCCTGAAGCTGTGGACAAATGATATTAAGTGCTATTTTCTTGTGGTATGAATGAGAATTGCAAGAGGCCTCTCTGCATGGCGGTGTGGTAGTGCTGTGCGAGTGAGATGCAGCATCTCTGCGAAGCAACATCCCTAGTGCTTAGTGGTTTGTTGAGTGATGTAGATTCTAGTAGGCACGCTGCTTTTACGTAACTCTGCATGTGATTTTCACTTTGTTGCTTCTTGTACCGTGCATCCTGCAATATCTGCGGTGATTGTTAGGCAATCTATCGAAAGCATTTGGTTAATCAAAAATAAAAAAGGGGGAATTGTGGAAAAGGAATTTGCAGGTAGCTCTGCGCTGTTTCACACGTCCCCGAATGAGAGATAATGAGGAAAGCCAGCAGTAGAAACAAAAACTTGAGCAAGGTTGAGATAAAGGCAGTTGGCTACAGTGTTGAAGATGATCTCTGGGGCAGTGGCCAACTGCTGGCTGGCTCGAAGCACGTGTCTGAGGGTCTCTAACCAATTGTATGAGAGATTTGGGCACGTGGACAGCGCGTGGAGCTACGGGGAAAGTATATGTAGTAGTGAAAAAGGGCAAGAAAGGCCTCGTGTTGAAGAGCCATCAGGAGTCTGTGTCTTGCATCCCTTCACCTAGCTTAGCACGTGTACAGAGGTCCAGCGCCTAACTCAGAAATAATTCTTTAAAGTCAAGCAACAGGGCTTTGGTTGAAACAACATGGGAAGCTCCTCCTGTTCTGTATTCTGGGGGAATACACTTTTCCCTGCAGTGTATTCCCCAGGACATTTAGTACCTGTTGGCTGAACACAAACGCACAACAGAGGGTACCCCAACACAGACGGGCAGCAGGTTCTTGTGCGTCACCTTTGAGCCCGAGCCTGAGCACGGAGCTGCTTTACGAAGCCCAGGTATGGCATTGCAACTCCAGACTTCTGAGTTCACTTGCTGATTCTCTCCTCTCTCTGGGTCCAAAAATGTCCACGTTGGGTTTCTCCCTTAATTCCCCATTCTGAAAGAATGGGTTGGCCTAGTAGAGAGTCCTTCAATAGCTTTGTTGGCCAAAGAGCTGTAGCCTGAAAGTCAGAAGTCTCCGTCATCCTACAGGAAGAGAGAACACGTCAGGGGCAAATTGCCTGACGTTTGGATCTTTCTCTTAATTATCAAGACCAACCAACCACACGCAAAACGGCCAACATGCATAAATGAAAGAAAGCCAAGCACGGCGTGCCAGAGCTGGTCCAACAGTTGTTCTGGTTAGCTCTAAGAGAGAATTTGAAGTTAGCTAAGGAGTGGAGAATAAGAATGACAAAGTGATGCTCTCTCTGAGGGCTCTTAGTATCTACGGCCAGGGTCCGCCCAAGATCTTGTCTCTGAGGACCCCAAGTTCTTTCTGGACGTGGTTCTGCAGCAGCAGCAGGTTCTGCCCCGGGGGTCTCTGGCTGGTGTATTGGGGTAAGGAAAGCCGGGGTGCCAGCTTGGCTGTCTCGGTTTCCGTATGCCCATAGATGGAGACAGTAACCTGGCAACTGGGGGCTTATTGTGTGCTCATAATGCAGCCAGACAGGATAAAAGGCAGCGCCTCCTCCTGCGGTCATCACTTCTTGGAAGTGCAGCTGTGACGAACGAGGTAGGATAAGGCTCGTCTCCAGTGTTTCCACCAGCTTGTCTCCAACAGTTCCATCCTGTGAACTGGCGATCAAGCTTCACGTTCGTTAGTCAGATGAGACCAGTGAATACGAGAGCGTTTAAATTTGCCTTCCTTTTAACAGGCACGAGATGAGTGCAGCGATGTCACAGGGTGAACGGTCCACTGGGAAGACCCTAGCGGTAAGATTAGCTCCTTCAAACTGCACCAGTTCATGCACTTTTTTGGATCTGGGTGGTCTAGTGCAAAGCTTGATACTGTTCATATGAGAAATGGGCGAAAAAAGGTGGCAAAAGAAACAAAAAGTGAAATGCTGCGGATACTTGAGGCTCTGCTTACCTGCAGCAGAAACTGCAAGCTCTTCATGTGGTGGTGTCGGAAGCGTGCAGGTAGCTCTCACGCGCGCTTTCAGGGAGTCTTTAGCGGAGACAAGATCCTCTAGTACCATGGGCAGTGAATATTGGTCCCCAGATAGAGGGAGAAGCAGCTTCTGTTCCTCTCTCGCATCCCCCTGCCTCTCTTCCCAGCATGGTCATAAAGTAAGGGCTCGGCTGCTCTCTGTTCTGTCCTTTCCTCTGGGTCCTGGGGGCTGGACTGCAGTGCTTGGGAAAAGGCATCGGCTTGAATGAGTTACGGCCCCATGGGCAACGTGTCGGTCCTTCTCCCACAGTGGACGTACTTCATTTAAACACAATAACTTCACGAGTGGCCAGCCAAAGTTAGGAATCACGGTCAGCAAAGATGGTGTGAAATGCTAAAGGCCATTGAAGCCCAACTCCAAATCTCTCTGGTTGTTCTTATTCCCCCAATTTTTCCCTGCATTTTCATAAAGGCTAAGAAGGCTCTACGAAGCCCAGGAAGCAATACTGTCTACTGACAGTAACAAAGTAAGCAAACAAACAAAAGTCCAGTCAGTCCAACACTGCAGGCTGAAGCTCAGTCTGAAATACAAGCTATGTCACGATGTACCTGTTTCATTGGCAGGGCACGATGGAGTCACGGGACGTGACCCCGCAGAAGGGCTCTCTCCAGCTCCTCGTGAAGAAACGGGAGTCCGCCAGTGCCACAAGCCCCAGCGTGGTGCGCCAGCGCCCACCAGTGCCACGGGCACGGTCACGTTCACGGAAGAGACGCATCCGTGTCAAATCCGTGGAAATACTGCGGGCACACGGTCGGCTCATGGAGACGATCGAGGAGGAGCCCCTGGACAGCTCGGGCGAGATCGAAACCTTCCCCGTTGCTGTCAAGGAGGTTGAGAGCCACGTGGAGAGCCTGGGTGGCAGGAAGGTGAGTGCAAGAAGGTTCTGCAGTTGAGAATGATTCCCCCACTATCCCTGTGGCCTTGTGATTCTAGCACTTCTGAAAACATGAGGCAAGCGTGTGCAACTGTGCCAAATCTCCTTGTTTTGCAAGGAGAGCACGGGAAATGGAAAGTGCGAGATACTGCTAAGCACGCTGGTGCGATGAGCTATCAGCTAAGCAGCACATGAATGCACCATTCACAACCTGCAGTGCCACAGAAATTGCCCATAGAGCATCCTGGAGAACACTGCTGCCAGAACAGCACCCCCTTCCAATGTGCTGCTGCTTCATGTCATTTCTGCCCCCGAGAACCCTATCGGTCTCCTACCAGGAGCTTCTAACTCCCATCCCCTTGACGTCTTCTAACAGGGAGCAGAGAGTGCGAGGACCTCCCTGTCACCAGCTCGGACTAGCGAGCCTGAGAGCAATCCAGGCGTAGCGGAGTCCACTGTTAAGAGGAGGAGGGCAGTCTCTGAGACGCTCTCAGAAAGGGGAGAAAACAGCAATGCCAAAGGTGAGTCTGACCACTTGGATCTGCTTTCTTGCTTTAGTTGAGTGCACTCGATCTCTATTTTGACGAGGGGCAACCACATTCGTGTCATCACGTGTCATCAGGAAAAGAACGTGGTGTTCTTATCGATGCCAAAGAAGCTTTTTGGCTCTCTCCGTTTTATCTTTGTGTTATGGAGGAGTGCCCGAAGCCCATTAAACACTTTTGGAGCAAAACACAACAGAACGGTCTCCTATGTTTAGAGAAGATAACTTATGATGAAGACAACCCAAATCTAAAACTGTGATACCAAAACTATGGGCAGCATTCATCAATGATGAAAAAGCAGGAACTTGCTCTTCTCAGTTGGTGAAGATAGTTTGGATTTGGAGAGGTGTTGCTTTCGTAACAACACCTTAGCTTTTAAGCGTGGCTTTCCGGTTTCCACAAGTCGAATGCTCTGTGCTTGATGTGTTCTAACGTAAAAGTTGTTGAACGGCTGCTGAAAAGTTGGTGTTCCTGTTCGTTTTGCCTACTGCTTTTCTTTCAAGATTCGAAACACGTGCACCCATGTCCCTCTCCCCAACTATGATGTCTGTTTGTAGTTTCAGGGGGTGGTCGCAGACCTCTGAGAGGACTTCGAGAAGCGCGCCCTCCGAAGCCTGGCAAGACGCTGCAGCTCTTTGAGGAGAATGTCTCCTTAAAGGATAAAGAGTCTCTTTCTCAAGCTGCAGCGTCTGAAGCAGAGAAGAGGAGCTGCTTTGCCAATAATGTAAGATTGCAATGTCTCATTCTCTTCTTAATTCTACGTTTGCTTTGCACAGGGTCAGACCCTAAAATACTGTCTGTATTTCTACAAGCAAGCTATCAGATGGCTCACGGGGTGGATCAAAATTTAAATCCGAAATTAGGAAACTTAGATAGCAAACAGAGTCATCCTTCAGTCTGTCTCTACCAAATGAGATTTTTCATGCTACATGCCTCTGGTCTTTTGGGCAATCCCTTTTCATTCATGGAATTGCTCTTCTTTGTAGTCCACCTTTGCCAGAACCTCATTTATGAGGGCCCTAGGCGTGAGAGAGAGCAGCAATGCGGTTATCCTATTTGCTCGTGTTCACCAAAAACGGCAGCTTCTTTAGCACAACAAATATTCTTTATTGACAAATAATAAAATCCCCTTCAGATGCACCGTGAGCTTAGAGCTCTTGCTGCTCAAACGGAAGGATTTGAAATCGCTGCGTTATAAACCAGCGGCCGTTTCAGATAAGGTACGGGAAGAGTGCAGGTGTTTTCAAACCACACAGTTCCTGCCCGCTGGCTTCTTGATTTCCTCATCACTTTGGCGTATTCGGAGCAGATTCCTGCGGTTCCTTGGGCAGAGCAGGTTCAAATTCCCTCCTCCTGACACTGCAAAGAATGCTGCAGTTAGCTCTGTGTCCCCAAAAGGAAGAACTGTAGGAAGGCTGGCCCAAGTGAACTGTGTGGAGAACATAGGAACCGCTTCATTTACCCTCTAGAACCCCTTGCCCTTTCTTGTTGACATGGACAGGACGTTCTTGCTACCAATGGAAACCACCTGGCCTTATTTAATCCCTCTAGATTTCCGAGGAGACCAAGGCCTGCACTGCGCCTGGCGGCCTGGCCGCAGTCAGGAGGCACTCTGAGGACAGGCAGACCGCCTCCTCGAGGATGAGCGATGCTCGTTGCCAGCAGGAGCAGAAAACTGCACAGGTAACAATGCCATTTGTAATAGTAACCAAGGAGGTCTTCTATGCTAAAGAGCTTGAGGGAAAAATACCATGATTTGCTTGGAAAGGTGTGTGCTTTTAGTTCGAGGTATCTTCCCGTGTAAGTTAGAAATGCGTAAGATTAGACATCGGTTCATCTCGTACAGTCTGAATTCCGATTTTCACTATGCAGTTGCAATTTTAAATGTAAGCCGTGAAAGTGGTGGGAATAAAGGAAGCTTAGCAATCAGGGGCACATAAAGAAGTATTTAGTACAGTCTGTAATTCAGCAAGTATTTCTACTGTGTGACAAACACAACTAAAGAAGAAGTCAATGAACACTTCTGCTTTTCCTTTCCTTCTCTGCTGAAGGCAATCTCTTCTTTCCTTGTTTTCGTTCTCTAAATGTGTGTATTTTCTGTCACCAGTTTCTCAGATACACAGAATCCGTCCACTGGAGAAGTGATGAAAAGTGCCCAAAAGTTGAAGGCGGTATGAACCAGCCATTTCTAGCGGCAGAGAAGATGGAAGCGCTAAGACAGCCAAAATCTACAATGTCTTCAGTGGCTTCCAGAATGAAAGCAATTAATGCAATCCTCAAAAATCAACAACTTCCTGTAAGAGGTCCACGCCATCTTGAAGCTGGTGCACCAAATCCGGAGTGCAAAAGAAAGGAATCCTCTGTGATCCAGGTGTTTCCGAATCTTAAGGAGCCACAGAGGAGGGAGCCATTGCGCCAGCCAATAAAGAAAATCAATTCTGCAGCTTCCAGACTGAAGGCCATCAATGAAATGCACAAGAGCCAAAGTAATCTTCTAGGATGGCCAAACCAGCAAGAAGCTGCTTTAGTGGCTTACGATATGCAGTGGCGTGAAACCCCAGAATGCAATGGAAAGAACAAAGATGAAGCCCTCGCAGGCCACGCGTTGTGCAGCAATGCACATCACGTTTCCAATAAAAACCTGTAATGACTTAAAAGTAACAGACTTGTCTGAATTTTTGCTGCCTGTCTCTCCTCCCTCCTTCAAGATTTCCCTCGTGCAAGATGCTGTCAGGACAAGGCGTGAAGTTGGATGTGTAAGACAGATTAAGAAGATTTTTGTCAACATTGGTACCCCAGTAAGTGCTGTGAGTAATGTGCAAGCTAGAGAAAGCGAGCCCCAAATCCCATTTTGATTCGGAAAGGCAGCTGGAGCAGAATTATGGAAAACTCTGTGTCAGACAGTACCAGAGTTTTGACAAGTGCATTTTGTGACGTGACCCTGCTGAGTGTGAGCCAGCACGGAGGCAGGAGCCGGGCAGGTGAGCTACTGTGTTGCGTGAAACACCATATTGACAGCGGTGCTCATGTATAGGCTGTAGGGCTTCGCGTGAAAGATCTTTCCTACCCAGTAGAAGGCAGTGCTTGATATTTTCAGTTAAACAGAGTGAAGGGTGGTCCCAATGACAAGGATCACGAGCTGCCGGGCTGTTTTCCGTGTCTGCTGTTACAAAGATAAGGATGTTTGTCTTCTTCCAGTTCCTCCTGGTTTTCTTTGTGCTCCCCTTACTCTGTCTTGGACAACAAAGCCCCTGCTTCCTTTTTGGGAGGGCAGCGTGGGGGCGGCGGCAGGGGCAGCGCTGTAGCAGGAGTTCCTCACTGCTTCGCGCAGGGCTCTCGCACCTTGCGAGGAGCTCAGCTGGCACCTCTTGGAGCTTCTAGCAATCATGCTGTAGGACCGTCCACTCGTATGACAGTTTTTATTGTGATAATGGGAGCAAAAACCAACTCCCCTTACAACTCTGGATAGCCTCCAAAATACAACCCCCTCTCCCCCCCACTCCGTCTCTCTAAAAAGTAACTTCAAATGTTTAAGTTAAACCTAAGGAATAACTCATGCCCCAGAATTAAGCACCTCATTTTAGTAGAAATGGATCTCCTTTTGAAGGAACTGTTTTGTGTACTCGGGTACCAGTTCTTCTGCGTCCATTGCTTCATTTGGTGTCCCAGCCCTAAGAGTCTAGATGACAAATGTGGATTCCTCAGGAGCATTTGTTAAGACCAAAGCTTTGGGATACGTGGAAGCAGGCTCTGACGTTTTTAAATGCAGGTCTCCAGCCTGGGTTGAAGTCATGAAGGCACCAGATCGTTTTAATGGGGATCACCGTGATGGTGGACCCTCTGAAGTGATATAAAAGGAAGGGAAGCTTTTTCTGACTTGTGCATCGTGGGCGTGCTTAGTGAAGCTGGCTCTAACAGCGTTTTCTTATGTGTAGGTATGAGGACGAGACATGGAAAAGGGGGAAGGAATGGTTGGGAGTTAACTCAATGAATGCTCAGCATGAAAAAGAAAAAACAAACAAATCTGGAAAGCAATGTATGTACCTCCGTACCCACTTCCTTTCACTGCAGTCTGTCACAGAATCACAGAATGTGTCACAGGTTGGAAGGGACCTCCAGAGATCATCTGGTCCAGCCCCCCTGTTCAAGCAGGGTCACCCCAAGCACGTTACATGGGATCCCATCCAGACGGGTTTTGAGCATCTCCCAAGAAGACACTCCACAAGCTCTCTGAGCAGCCTGTTGCAGTGCTCTGTCATCTGAACCGTAAAGAAGTTCTTCCTCATAAGAGGATGAAACCTCCTCCTCGTGGCTCTGTTTCACTTGCTCAGAAATCCATTCTGAAACCCACCAGCTGAACCGGGAACAATTACTAATGTAATGTGTCTAACTGTGGGTGACCCGTTTGGTGATAATCTGGAGCTGAGTAATAATAGAGCGGTGCACTAAAAGTGAGGAGGGAGGTGGCTCGGGGACATGGTGTGGCAAACAGCTAGAGAGGAGGAAGTTGGAAGTGATGGGAGGAGGTTCCGGGATCTGGTGGAGCCAATAAAACGACCCATCTACGACATGTCTGGTGGGGAACCCGATGGCTAACAAAGACTGGACTGTCTGCTAGTGAAGTGCAAGCGCCTCTAGAGCCACAGGAATGAGATATCCTGGGATGCGTAAGAGCAACAGCATGTGTAAGGTTCAATTGCTTGAGAAAGAAACAAATCATGAAAGAAATGGTCAAGGCCACACTTGCTCCTTATTGCAATGCATCTCTTTGGTGTAATTACACAAAACTAGAATAGCATCGTTCCTTGCGCCAGGAACCGCTCTGCTCGGCTGTGGGATCGACTGTGGAACAGATGCCCATCAGTGCACCCCAAGCATTTTCCTCGGAGGGGTCTCCGCTCTCAGCTGCTCACCAGGACCTCCTGAAGCTGTGGACAAATGATATTAAGTGATATTTTCTTGTGGTATGAATGAGAATTGCAAGAGGCCTCTCTGCATGGCGGTGTGGTAGTGCTGTGCGAGTGAGATGCAGCATCTCTGCGAAGCAACATCCCTAGTGCTTAGTGGTTTGTTGAGTGGTGTAGATTCTAGTAGGCACGCTGCTTTTACGTAACTCTGCATGTGATTTTCACTTTGTTGCTTCTTGTACCGTGCATCCTGCAATATCTGCGGTGATTGTTAGGCAATCTATCGAAAGCATTTGGTTAATGAAAAATAAAAAAGGGGGAATTGTGGAAAAGGAATTTGCAGGTAGCTCTGCGCTGTTTCACACGTCCCCGAATGAGAGATAATGAGGAAACCAGCAGTAGAAACAAAAACTTGAGCAAGGTTGAGATAAAGGCAGTTGGCTACAGTGTTGAAGATGATCTCTGGGGCAGTGGCCAACTGCTGGCTGGCTCGAAGCACGTGTCTGAGGGTCTCTAACCAATTGTATGAGAGATTTGGGCACGTGGACAGCGCGTGGAGCTACGGGGAAAGTATATGTAGTAGTGAAAAAGGGCAAGAAAGGCCTCCTGTTGAAGAGCCATCAGGAGTCTGTGTCTTGCATCCCTTCACCTAGCTTAGCACGTGTACAGAGGTCCAGCGCCTAACTCAGAAATAATTCTTTAAAGTCAAGCAACAGGGCTTTGGTTGAAACAACATGGGAAGCTCCTCCTGTTCTGTATTCTGGGGGAATACACTTTTCCCTGCAGTGTATTCCCCAGGACATTTAGTACCTGTTGGCTGAAGACAAACGCACAACAGAGGGTACCCCAACACAGACGGGCAGCAGGTTCTTGTGCGTCACCTTTGAGCCCGAGCCTGAGCACGGAGCTGCTTTACGAAGCCCAGGTATGGCATTGCAACTCCAGACTTCTGAGTTCACTTGCTGATTCTCTCCCTCTCTAGGTCCAAAAATGTCCATGTTGGGTTTCTCCCTTAATTCCCCATTCCAAAAGAATGGGTTGGCCTAGTAGAGAGTCCTTCAATAGTTTTGTTGGCCAAAGAGCTGTAGCCTGAAAGTCAGAAGTCTCCGTCATCCTACAGGAAGAGAGAACACGTCAGGGGCAAATTGCCTGACGTTTGGATCTTTCTCTTAATTATCAAGACCAACCAACCACACGCAAAACGGCCAACATGCATAAATGAAAGAAAGCCAAGCACGGCGTGCCAGAGCTGGTCCAACAGTTGTTCTGGTTAGCTCTAAGAGAGAATTTGAAGTTAGCTAAGGAGTGGAGAATAAGAATGACAAAGTGATGCTCTCTCTGAGGGCTCTTAGTATCTACGGCCATGGTCCGCCCAAGATCTTGTCTCTGAGGACCCCAAGTTCTTTCTGGACGTGGTTCTGCAGCAGCAGCAGGTTCTGCCCCGGGGGTCTCTGGCTGGTGTATTGGGGTAAGGAAAGCCGGGGTGCCAGCTTGGCTGTCTCGGTTTCCGTACGCCCATAGATGGAGACAGTAACCTGGCAACTGGGGGCTTATTGTGTGCTCATAATGCAGCCAGGCAGGATAAAAGGCAGCGCCTCCTCCTGCGGTCATCACTTCTTGGAAGTGCAGCTGTGACGAACGAGGTAGGATAAGGCTTGTCTCCAGTGTTTCCACCAGCTTGTCTCCAACAGTTCCATCCTGTGAACTGGCGATCAAGCTTCACGTTCGTTAGTCAGATGAGACCAGTGAATACGAGAGCGTTTAAATTTGCCTTCCTTTTAACAGGCACGAGATGAGTGCAGCGATGTCACAGGGTGAACGGTCCACTGGGAAGACCCTAGCGGTAAGATTAGCTCCTTCAGACTGCACCGGTTCATGCACTTTTTTGGATCTGGGTGGTCTAGTGCAAAGCTTGATACTGTTCATATGAGAAATGGGCGAAAAAAGGGGGCAAAAGAAACAAAAAGTGAAATGCTGCGGATACTTGAGGCTCTGCTTACCTGCAGCAGAAACTGCAAGCTCTTCATGTGGTGGTGTCGGAAGCGTGCAGGTAGCTCTCACGCGCGCTTTCAGGGAGTCTTTAGCGGAGACAAGATCCTCTAGTACCATGGGCAGTGAATATTGGTCCCCAGATAGAGGGAGAAGCAGCTTCTGTTCCTCTCTCGCATCCCCCTGCCTCTCTTCCCAGCATGGTCATAATCCAATCTACAATACAATCTACTGACAGTTTCAGATGTGCAGTCACCATCAAGTATTTGACTTAAGAATGAATTCCCATCAGCATTTTGTAGCGATTTAAGTGACTGTGAGCAGGTGGAGAAAGTGGCTTAAAGTCAGGTTGAGGCCTCAGTTCAGATTCATTCCTGAGAAGTGCAGATGGCACAGTGCAATTCCTTCCATGAGTACCCTTGGATTGCAGAACCCTAGCGCTTCTCCCGTGCTTCTTCCTCCCCTGTGAAATACTGCAGACCACTCAAATCCTTAGGTATTTGTCTGAAAACAAAGTAAGCAAACAAACAAAAGTCCAGTCAGTCCAACACTGCAGGCTGAAGCTCAGTCTGAAATACAAGCTATGTCACGATGTACCTGTTTCATTGGCAGGGCACGATGGAGTCACGGGACGTGACCCCGCAGAAGGGCTCTCTCCAGCTCCTCGTGAAGAAACGGGAGTCCGCCAGTGCCACAAGCCCCAGCGTGGTGCGCCAGCGCCCACCAGTGCCACGGGCACGGTCACGTTCACGGAAGAGACGCATCCGTGTCAAATCCGTGGAAATACTGCGGGCACACGGTCGGCTCATGGAGACGATCGAGGAGGAGCCCCTGGACAGCTCGGGCGAGATCGAAACCTTCCCCGTTGCTGTCAAGGAGGTTGAGAGCCACTTGGAGAGCCTGGGTGGCAGGAAGGTGAGTGCAAGAAGGTTCTGCAGTTGAGAATGATTCCCCCACTATCCCTGTGGCCTTGTGATTCTAGCACTTCTGAAAACATGAGGCAAGCGTGTGCAACTGTGCCAAATCTCCTTGTTTTGCAAGGAGACCACGGGAAATGGAAAGTGCGAGATACTGCTAAGCACGCTGGTGCGATGAGCTATCAGCTAAGCAGCACATGAATGCACCATTCACAACCTGCAGTGCCACAGAAATTGCCCATAGAGCATCCTGGAGAACACTGCTGCCAGAACAGCACCCCCTTCCAATGTGCTGCTGCTTCATGTCATTTCTGCCCCCGAGAACCCTATCGGTCTCCTACCAGGAGCTTCTAACTCCCATCCCCTTGACGTCTTCTAACAGGGAGCAGAGAGTGCGAGGACCTCCCTGTCACCAGCTCGGACTAGCGAGCCTGAGAGCAATCCAGGCGTAGCGGAGTCCACTGTTAAGAGGAGGAGGGCAGTCTCTGAGACGCTCTCAGAAACCGGAGAAAACAGCAATGCCAAAGGTGAGTCTGACCACTTGGATCTGCTTTCTTGCTTTAGTTGAGTGCACTCGATCTCTGTTGTGACGAGGGGCGACCACATTTGTGTCATCAGGTCAGCCCCCAGGTTGCCCAGGAAAAGAATGTGGTGTTCTTATCAATGCCAATCAATCTTTCCAGCTTTCTCCGTTTTATCTTTGTGTTACGGAGGAGTGCCTGAAGCACTTTTTGAGCAAAACTCAACAGAACGGTGTGCTGTGTTTAGAGAAGATAACTTATGATGGAGATAACCCAAATCTAAAACTATGATGTCAAATATACTATGGGCAGCATTCATCAATGATGAAAAAGCAGGAACTTGCTATTCTCAGTTGGTGAAGATAGTTTGGATTTGGAGAGGTGTTGCTTTTGTAACAACACCTTAGCTTTTAAGCGTGGCTTTCCGGTTTCCACAAGTCGAATGCTCTGTGCTTGATGTGTTCTAACGTAAAAGTTGTTGAACGGCTGCTGAAAAGTTGGTGTTCCTGTTCGTTTTGCCTACTGCTTTTCTTTCAAGATTTGAAACACGTGCACCCATGTCCCTCTCCCCAACTATGATGTCTGTTTGTAGTTTCAGGGGGTGGTCGCAAACTTCTGAGAGGACTTCGAGAAGCGCGCCCTCCGAAGCCTGGCAAGACGCTGCAGCTCTTTGAGGAGAATGCCTCCTTAAAGGATAAAGAGTCTCTTCCTCAAGCTGCAGCGTCTGAAGCAGAGAAGAGGAGCTGCTTTGCCAATAATGTAAGATTGCAATGTCTCATTATCTCCTTAATTCTACGTTTGCTTTGCACAGGGTCAGACCCTAAAATACTGTCTGTATTTCTACAAGCAAGCTATCAGATGGCTCACGGGGTGGATCAAAATTTAAATCCGAAATTAGGAAACTTAGATAGCAAACAGAGTCATCCTTCAGTCTGTCTCTACCAAATGAGATTTTTCATGCTACATGCCTCTGGTCTTTTGGGCAATCCCTTTTCATTCATGGAATTGCTCTTCTTTGTAGTCCACCTTTGCCAGAACCTCATTTATGAGGGCCCTAGGCGTGAGAGAGAGCAGCAATGCGGTTATCCTATTTGCTCGTGTTCACCAAAAACGGCAGCTTCTTTAGCACAACAAATATTCTTTATTGACAAATAATAAAATCCCCTTCAGATGCACTGTGAGCTTAGAGCTCTTGGTGCTCAAACGGAAGGATTTGAAATCGCTGCGTTATAAACCAGCGGCCGTTTCAGATAAGGTACGGGAAGAGTGCAGGTGTTTTCAAACCACACAGTTCCTGCCCGCTGGCTTCTTGATTTCCTCATCGCTTTGGCGTATTCGGAGCAGATTCCTGCGGTTCCTTGGGCAGAGCATGTTCAAATTCCCTCCTCCTGACACTGCAAAGAATGCTGCAGTTAGCTCTGTGTCCCCAAAAGGAAGAACTGTAGGAAGGCTGGCCCAAGTGAACTGTGTGGAGAACATAGGAACCGCTTCATTTACACTCTAGAACCCCTTGCCCTTTCTTGTTGACATGGACAGGACGTTCTTGCTACCAATGGAAACCACCTGACCTTATTTAATCCTTCTAGATTTCCGAGGAGACCAAGGCCTGCACTGCGCCTGGCGGCCTGGGCACAGGCAGGATGCACTCTGAGAACAGGCATACCGCCTCCTCGAGGATGAGCGATGCTCGTTGCCAGCAGGAGCAGAAAACTGCACAGGTAACAATGCCATTTGTAATAGTAACCAAGGAGGTCTTCTATGCTAAAGAGCTTGAGGGAAAAATACCATGATTTGCTTGGAAAGGTGTGTGCTTTTAGTTCGAGGTATCTTCCCGTGTAAGTTAGAAATGCGTAAGATTAGACATCGGTTCATCTCATACAGTCTGAATTCCGATTTCACTATGCAGTTGCAATTTTAAATGTAAGCCGTGAAAGTGGTGGGAATAAAGGAAGCTTAGCAATCAGGGGCACATAAAGAAGTATTTAGTACAGTCTGTAATTCAGCAAGTATTTCTACTGTGTGACAAACACAACTAAAGAAGAAGTCAATGAACACTTCTGCTTTTCCTTTCCTTCTCTGCTGAAGGCAATCTCTTCTTTCCTTGTTTTCGTTCTCTAAATGTGTGTATTTTCTGTCACCAGTTTCTCAGATACACAGAATCTGTCCACTGGAGAAGTGATGAAAAGTGCCCAAAAGTTGAAGGCGGTATGAACCAGCCATTTATAGCGGCAGAGAAGATGGAAGCGCTAAGACGGCCAAAATCTACAATGTCTTCAGTGGCTTCCAGGATGAAAGCAATTAATGCAATCCTCAAAAATCAACAACTTCCTGTAAGAGGTCCACGCCATCTTGAAGCTGGTGCACCAAATCCGGAGTGCAAAAGAAAGGAATCCTCTGTGATCCAGGTGTTTCCGAATCTTAAGGAGCCACAGAGGAGGGAGCCATTACGCCAGCCGATAAAGAAAATCAATTCTGCAGCTTCCAGACTGAAGGCCATCAATGAAATGCACAAGAGCCAAAGTAATCTTCTAGGATGGCCAAACCAGCAAGAAGCTGCTTTAGTGGCTTACGATATGCAGTGGCGTGAAACCCCAGAATGCGATGGAAAGAACAAAGACGAAGCCCTCGCAGGCCACGTGTTGTGCAGCAATGCACATCACGTTTCCAATAAAAACCTGTAATGACTTAAAAGTAACAGACTTGTCTGAATTTTTGCTGCCTGTCTCTCCTCCCTCCTTCAAGATTTCCCTCGTGCAAGATGCTATCAGGACAAGGCGTGAAGTTGGATGTGTAAGACAGATTAAGAAGATTTTTGTCAACATTGGTACCCCAGTAAGTGCTGTGAGTAATGTGCAAGCTAGAGAAAGCGAGCCCCAAATCCCATTTTGATTCAGAAAGGCAGCTGGAGCAGAATTATGGAAAACTCTGTGTCAGACAGTACCAGAGTTTTGACAAGTGCATTTTGTGACGTGACCCTGCTGAGTGTGAGCCAGCACGGAGGCAGGAGCCGGGCAGGTGAGCTACTGTGTTGCGTGAAACACCGTGTTGACAGCGGTGCTCATGTATAGGCTGTAGGGCTTCGCGTGAAAGATCTTTCCTACCCAGTAGAAGGCAGTGCTTGATATTTTCAGTTAAACAGAGTGAAGGGTGGTCCCAATGACAAGGATCACGAGCTGCCGGGCTGTTTTCCGTGTCTGCTGTTACAAGATAAGGATGTTTGTCTTCTTCCAGTTCCTCCTGGTTTTCTTTGTGCTCCCCTTACTCTGTCTTGGACAACAAAGCCCCTGCTTCCTTTTTGGGAGGGCAGCGTGGGGGCGGCGGCAGGGGCAGCGCTGTAGCAGGAGTTCCTCACTGCTTCGCGCAGGGCTCTCGCACCTTGCGAGGAGCTCAGCTGGCACCTCTTGGAGCTTCTAGCAATCATGCTGTAGGACCGTCCACTCGTATGACAGTTTTTATTGTGATAATGGGAGCAAAAACCAACTCCCCTTACAACTCTGGATAGCCTCCAAAATACAACCCCCCCCCCCCCACTCCGTCTCTCTAAAAAGTAACTTCAAATGTTTAAGTTAAACCTCAGGAATATCTCATGCCCAGAATTAAGCACCCTCATTTTAGTAGAAATGGATCTCCTTTTGAAGGAACTGTTTTGTGTACTCGGGGTACCAGTTCTTCTGCGTCCATTGCTTCATTTGGTGTCCCAGCCCTAAGAGTCTAGATGACAAATGTGGATTCCTCAGGAGCATTTGTTAAGACCAAAGCTTTGGGATACGTGGAAGCAGGCTCTGACGTTTCTAAATGCAGGTCTCCAGCCTGGGTTGAAGTCATGAAGGCACCAGATCGTTTTAATGGGGATCACCGTGATGGTGGACCCTCTGAAGTGATATAAAAGGAAGGGAAGCTTTTTCTGACTTGTGCATCGTGGGCGTGCTTAGTGAAGCTGGCTCTAACAGCGTTTTCTTATGTGTAGGTATGAGGACGAGACATGGAAAGGGGGAAGGAATGGTTGGGAGTTCCTCAAGGAACGCGTTTTAGTGAAACAAAAGATGACATTTAAATACGGGGTTTGTTTCACTGCAGATTTTTGGCAGTAGACAGGGCGCTTACTGGAATGCAATTCTGTGGAGTTGGCAAGGCTTTGGGAGATGGTGCCCAGGTGCAGTATATTGGTGCTGCCTCCTGAAGATCAGCTCTGACTTGACTCAGGCACTTTGTTGTTTCCATGCAACTGCTCAGCATGAGAAAGAAATAACAAACAAACAAATCTGGAAAGCAATGTACGTACTTCCGTACCCACTTCCTTTCACTGCAGTCTGTCACAGAATCACAGAATGTGTCACAGGTTGGAAGGGACCTCCAGAGATCATCTGGTCCAGCCCCCCCTGTTCAAGCAGGGTCACCCCAAGCACGTTACATGGGATCCCATCCAGACGGGTTTTGAGCATCTCCCAAGAAGACACTCCACAAGCTCTCTGAGCAGCCTGTTGCAGTGCTCTGTCATCTGAACCGTAAAGAAGTTCTTCCTCATAAGAGGATGAAACCTCCTCCTCGTGGCTCTGTTTCACTTGCTCAGAAATCCCTTCTGAAATCCACCAGCTGAACCGGGAACAATTACTAATGTAATGTGTCTAACTGTGGGTGACCCGTTTGGTGATAATCTGGAGCTGAGTAATAATAGAGCGGTGCACTAAAAGCGAGGAGGGAGGTGGCTCGGGGACATGGTGTGGCAAACAGCTAGAGAGGAGGAAGTTGGAAGTGATGGGAGGAGGTTCCGGGATCTGGTGGAGCCAATAAAACGACCCATCTACGACATGTCTGGTGGGGAAGCCGATGGCTAACAAAGACTGGACTGTCTGCTAGTGAAGTGCAAGCGCCTCTAGAGCCACAGGAATGAGATATCCTGGGATGCGTAAGAGCAACAGCATGTGTAAGGTTCAATTGCTTGAGAAAGAAACAAATCATGAAAGAAATGGTCAAGGCCACACTTGCTCCTTATTGCAATGCATCTCTTTGGTGTAATTACACAAAACTAGAATAGCATCGTTCCTTGCGCCAGGAACCGCTCTGCTCAGCTGTGGGATCGACTGTGGAACAGATGCGCCATCAGTGCACCCCAAGCATTTTCCTCGGAGGGGTCTCCGCTCTCAGCTGCTCACCAGGACCTCCTGAAGCTGTGGACAAATGATATTAAGTGATATTTTTCTTGCGGTATGAATGAGAATTGCAAGAGGCCTCTCTGCATGGCGGTGTGGTAGTGCTGTGGCGAGTGAGATGCAGCATCTCTGCGAAGCAACATCCCTAGTGCTTAGTGGTTTGTTGAGTGATGTAGATTCTAGTAGGCACGCTGCTTTTACGTAACTCTGCATGTGATTTTCACTTTGTTGCTTCTTGTACCGTGCTTCTTGCAATATCTGCGGTGATTGTTAGGCAATCTATCGAAAGCATTTGGTTAATCAAAAATAAAAAAGGGGGAATTGTGGAAAAGGAATTTGCAGGTAGCTCTGCGCTGTTTCACACGTCCCGAATGAGAGATAATGAGGAAAGCAGCAGTAGAAACAAAAACTTGAGCAAGGTTGAGATAAAGGCAGTTGGCTACAGTGTTGAAGATGATCTCTGGGGCAGTGGCCAACTGCTGGCTGGCTCGAGGCACGTGTCTGAGGGTCTCTAACCAATTGTATGAGAGATTTGGGCACATGGACAGCGCGTGGAGCTACGGGGAAAGTATATGTAGTAGTGAAAAAGGGCAAGAAAGGCCTCCTGTTGAAGAGCCATCAGGAGTCTGTGTCTTGCATCCCTTCACCTAGCTTAGCACGTGTACAGAGGTCCAGCGCCTAACTCAGAAATAATTCTTTAAAGTCAAGCAACAGGGCTTTGGTTGAAACAACATGGGAAGCTCCTTCTGTTCTGTATCCTGGGGGAATACACTTTTCCCTGCAGTGGGCACTTTTCCCTGAGGGCTCTTAGTATCTACGGCCATGGTCTGCCCAAGATCTTGTCTCTGAGGACCCCAAGTTGTTTCTGGACGTGGTTCTGCAGCAGCAGCAGGTTCTGCCCCGGGGGTCTCTGGCTGGTGTATTGGGGTAAGGAAAGCCGGGGTGCCAGCTTGGCTGTCTCGGTTTCCGTATGCCCATAGATGGAGGCAGTAACCTGGCAACTGTGGGCTTATTGTGTGCTCATAATGCAGCCAGACAGGATAAAAGGCAGCGCCTCCTCCTGCGGTCATCACTTCTTGGAAGTGCAGCTGTGACGAACGAGGTAGGATAAGGCTTGTCTCCAGTGTTTCCACCAGCTTGTCTCCAACAGTTCCATCCTGTGAACTGGCGATCAAGCTTCACGTTCGTTAGTCAGATGAGACCAGTGAATACGAGAGCGTTTAAATTTGCCTTCCTTTTAACAGGCACGAGATGAGTGCAGCGATGTCACAGGGTGAACGGTCCACTGGGAAGACCCTAGCGGTAAGATTAGCTCCTTCAGACTGCACAAGTTCATGCACTTTTTTGGATCTGGGTGGTCTAGTGCAAAGCTTGATACTGTTCATATGAGAAATGGGCGAAAAAAGGGGGCAAAAGAAACAAAAAGTGAAATGCTGCGGATACTTGAGGCTCTGCTTACCTGCAGCAGAAACTGCAAGCTCTTCATGTGGTGGTGTCGGAAGCGTGCAGGTAGCTCTCACGCGCGCTTTCAGGGAGTCTTTAGCGGAGACAAGATCCTCTAGTACCATGGGCAGTGAATATTGGTCCCCAGATAGAGGGAGAAGCAGCTTCTGTTCCTCTCTCGCATCCCCCTGCCTCTCTTCCCAGCATGGTCATAAAGTAAGGGCTCGGCTGCTCTCTGTTCTGTCCTTTCCTCTGGGTCCTGGGGCTGGACTGCAGTGCTTGGGAAAAGGCATCGGCTTGAATGAGTTACGGCCCCATGGGCAACGTGTCGGTCCTTCTCCCACAGTGGACGTACTTCATTTAAACACAATAACTTCACGAGTGGCCAGCCAAAGTTAGGAATCACGGTCAGCAAAGATGGTGTGAAATGCTAAAGGCCATTGAAGCCCAACTCCAAATCTCTCTGGTTGTTCTTATTCCCCCAATTTTTCCCTGCATTTTCATAAGGCTAAGAAGGCTCTACGAAGCCCAGGAAGCAATACTGTCTACTGACAGTAACAAAGTAAGCAAACAAACAAAAGTCCAGTCAGTCCAACACTGCAGGCTGAAGCTCAGTCTGAAATACAAGCTATGTCACGATGTACCTGTTGCATTGGCAGGGCACGATGGAGTCACGGGACGTGACCCCGCAGAAGGGCTCTCTCCAGCTCCTTGTGAAGTCACGGGAGTCCGCCAGTGCCACAAGCCCCAGCGTGGTGCGCCAGCGCCCACCAGTGCCACGGGCACGGTCACGTTCACGGAAGAGACGCATCCGTGTCAAATCCGTGGAAATACTGCGGGCACACGGTCGGCTCATGGAGACGATCGAGGAGGAGCCCCTGGACAGCTCGGGCGAGATCGAAACCTTCCCCGTTGCTGTCAAGGAGGTTGAGAGCCACGTGGAGAGCCTGGGTGGCAGGAAGGTGAGTGCAAGAAGGTTCTGCAGTTGAGAATGATTCCCCCACTATCCCTGTGGCCTTGTGATTCTAGCACTTCTCTCAACATGAGGCAAGCGTGTGCAACTGTGCCAAATCTCCTTGTTTTGCAAGGAGAGCACGGGAAATGGAAAGTGCGAGATACTGCTAAGCACGCTGGTGCGATGAGCTATCAGCTAAGCAGCACATGAATGCACCATTCACAACCTGCAGTGCCACAGAAATTGCCCATAGAGCATCCTGGAGAACACTGCTGCCAGAACAGCACCCCCTTCCAATGTGCTGCTGCTTCATGTCATTTCTGCCCCCGAGAACCCTATCGGTCTCCTACTACCAGGAGCTTCTAACTCCCATCCCCTTGACGTCTTCTAACAGGGAGCAGAGAGTGCGAGGACCTCCCTGTCACCAGCTCGGACTAGCGAGCCTGCGAGCAATCCAGGCATAGCGGAGTCCACTGTTAAGAGGAGGAGGGCAGTCTCTGAGACGCTCTCAGAAACCGGAGAAAACAGCAATGCCAAAGGTGAGTCTGACCACTTGGATCTGCTTTCTTGCTTTAGTTGAGTGCACTCGATCTCTATTTTGACGAGGGGCAACCACATTCGTGTCATCACGTGTCATCAGGAAAAGAACAGTGGTGTTCTTATCGATGCCAAAGAAGCTTTTTGGCTCTCTCCGTTTTATCTTTGTGTTATGGAGGAGTGCCCGAAGCCCATTAAACACTTTTGGAGCAAAACACAACAGAACGGTCTCCTATGTTTAGAGAAGATGACTTATGATGAAGACAACCCAAATCTAAAACTGTGATACCAAAACTATGGGCAGCATTCATCAATGATGAAAAAGCAGGAACTTGCTCTTCTCAGTTGGTGAAGATAGTTTGGATTTGGAGAGGTGTTGCTTTCGTAACAACACCTTAGCTTTTAAGCGTGGCTTTCCGGTTTCCACAAGTCGAATGCTCTGTGCTTGATGTGTTCTAACGTAAAAGTTGTTGAACGGCTGCTGAAAAGTTGGTGTTCCTGTTCGTTTTGCCTACTGCTTTTCTTTCAAGATTCGAAACACGTGCACCCATGTCCCTCTCCCCAACTATGATGTCTGTTTGTAGTTTCAGGGGGTGGTCGCAAACCTCTGAGAGGACTTCGAGAAGCGCGCCCTCCGAAGCCTGGCAAGACGCTGCAGCTCTTTGAGGAGAATGTCTCCTTAAAGGATAAAGAGTCTCTTTCTCAAGCTGCAGCGTCTGAAGCAGAGAAGAGGAGCTGCTTTGCCAATAATGTAAGATTGCAATGTCTCATTCTCTTCTTAATTCTACGTTTGCTTTGCACAGGGTCAGACCCTAAAATACTGTCTGTATTTCTGCAAGCAAGCTATCAGATGGCTCACGGGGTGGATCAAAATTTAAATCCGAAATTAGGAAACTTAGATAGCAAACAGAGTCATCCTTCAGTCTGTCTCTACCAAATGAGATTTTTCATGCTACATGCCTCTGGTCTTTTGGGCAATCCCTTTTCATTCATGGAATTGCTCTTCTTTGTAGTCCACCTTTGCCAGAACCTCATTTATGAGGGCCCTAGGCGTGAGAGAGAGCAGCAATGCGGTTATCCTATTTGCTCGTGTTCACCAAAAACGGCAGCTTCTTTAGCACAACAAATATTCTTTATTGACAAATAATAAAATCCCCTTCAGATGCACCGTGAGCTTAGAGCTCTTGGTGCTCAAACGGAAGGATTTGAAATCGCTGCGTTATAAACCAGCGGCCGTTTCAGATAAGGTACGGGAAGAGTGCAGGTGTTTTCAAACCACACAGTTCCTGCCCGCTGGCTTCTTGATTTCCTCATCGCTTTGGCGTATTCGGAGCAGATTCCTGCGGTTCCTTGGGCAGAGCATGTTCAAATTCCCTCCTCCTGACACTGCAAAGAATGCTGCAGTTAGCTCTGTGTCCCCAAAAGGAAGAACTGTAGGAAGGCTGGCCCAAGTGAACTGTGTGGAGAACACAGGAACCGCTTCATTTACCCTCTAGAACCCCTTGCCCTTTCTTGTTGACATGGACAGGACGTTCTTGCTACCAATGGAAACCACCTGACCTTATTTAATCCTTCTAGATTTCCGAGGAGACCAAGGCCTGCACTGCGCCTGGCGGCCTGGGCACAGGCAGGATGCACTTTGAGGACAGGCAGACCGCCTCCTCGAGGATGAGCGATGCTCGTTGCCAGCAGGAGCAGAAAACTGCACAGGTAACAATGCCATTTGTAATAGTAACCAAGGAGGTCTTCTATGCTAAAGAGCTTGAGGGAAAAATACCATGATTTGCTTGGAAAGGTGTGTGCTTTTAGTTCGAGGTATCTTCCCGTGTAAGTTAGAAATGCGTAAGATTAGACATCGGTTCATCTCATACAGTCCGAATTCCGATTTTCACTATGCAGTTGCAATTTTAAATGTAAGCCGTGAAAGTGGTGGGAATAAAGGAAGCTTAGCAATCAGGGGCACATAAAGAAGTATTTAGTACAGTCTGTAATTCAGCAAGTATTTCTACTGTGTGACAAACACAACTAAAGAAGAAGTCAATGAACACTTCTGCTTTTCCTTTCCTTCTCTGCTGAAGGCAATCTCTTCTTTCCTTGTTTTCGTTCTCTAAATGTGTGTATTTTCTGTCACCAGTTTCTCAGATACACAGAATCTGTCCACTGGAGAAGTGATGAAAAGTGCCCAAAAGTTGAAGGCGGTATGAACCAGCCATTTATAGCGGCAGAGAAGATGGAAGCGCTAAGACAGCCAAAATCTACAATGTCTTCAGTGGCTTCCAGAATGAAAGCAATTAATGCAATCCTCAAAAATCAACAACTTCCTGTAAGAGGTCCACGCCATCTTGAAGCTGGTGCACCAAATCCGGAGTGCAAAAGAAAGGAATCCTCTGTGATCCAGGTGTTTCCAAATCTTAAGGAGCCACAGAGGAGGGAGCCATTGCGCCAGCCGATAAAGAAAATCAATTCTGCAGCTTCCAGACTGAAGGCCATCAATGAAATGCACAAGAGCCAAAGTAATCTTCTAGGATGGCCAAACCAGCAAGAAGCTGCTTTAGTGGCTTACGATATGCAGTGGCGTGAAACCCCAGAATGCGATGGAAAGAACAAAGATGAAGCCCTCGCAGGCCACGTGTTGTGCAGCAATGCACATCACGTTTCCAATAAAAACCTGTAATGACTTAAAAGTAACAGACTTGTCTGAATTTTTGCTGCCTGTCTCTCCTCCCTCCTTCAAGATTTCCCTCGTGCAAGATGCTATCAGGACAAGGCGTGAAGTTGGATGTGTAAGACAGATTAAGAAGATTTTTGTCAACATTGGTACCCCAGTAAGTGCTGTGAGTAATGTGCAAGCTAGAGAAAGCGAGCCCCAAATCCCATTTTGATTCGGAAAGGCAGCTGGAGCAGAATTATGTAAAACTCTGTGTCAGACAGTACCAGAGTTTTGACAAGTGCATTTTGTGACGTGACCCTGCTGAGTGTGAGCCAGCACGGAGGCAGGAGCCGGGCAGGTGAGCTACTGTGTTGCGTGAAACACCGTGTTGACAGCGGTGCTCATGTATAGGCTGTAGGGCTTCGCGTGAAAGATCTTTCCTACCCAGTAGAAGGCAGTGCTTGATATTTTCAGTTAAACAGAGTGAAGGGTGGTCCCAATGACAAGGATCACGAGCTGCCGGGCTGTTTTCCGTGTCTGCTGTTACAAAGATAAGGATGTTTGTCTTCTTCCAGTTCCTCCTGGTTTTCTTTGTGCTCCCCTTACTCTGTCTTGGACAACAAAGCCCCTGCTTCCTTTTTGGGAGGGCAGCGTGGGGGCGGCGGCAGGGGCAGCGCTGTAGCAGGAGTTCCTCACTGCTTCGCGCAGGGCTCTCGCACCTTGCGAGGAGCTCAGCTGGCACCTCTTGGAGCTTCTAGCAATCATGCTGTAGGACCGTCCACTCGTATGACAGTTTTTATTGTGATAATGGGAGCAAAAACCAACTCCCCTTACAACTCTGGATAGCCTCCAAAATACAACCCCCCCCGCCCCCCCAATCCGTCTCTCTAAAAAGTAACTTCAAATGTTTAAGTTAAACCTCAGGAATAACTCATGCCCCAGAATTAAGCACCTCATTTTAGTAGAAATGGATCTCCTTTTGAAGGAACTGTTTTGTGTACTCGGGTACCAGTTCTTCTGCCTCCATTGCTTCATTTGGTGTCCCAGCCCTAAGAGTCTAGATGACAAATGTGGATTCCTCAGGAGCATTTGTTAAGACCAAAGCTTTGGGATACGTGGAAGCAGGCTCTGACGTTTTTAAATGCAGGTCTCCAGCCTGGGTTGAAGTCATGAAGGCACCAGATCGTTTTAATGGGGATCACCGTGATGGTGGACCCTCTGAAGTGATATAAAAAACAGGGAAGCTTTTTCTGACTTGTGCATCGTGGGCGTGCTTAGTGAAGCTGGCTCTAACAGCGTTTTCTTATGTGTAGGTATGAGGACGAGACATGGAAAAGGGGGAAGGAATGGTTGGGAGTTCCTCAAGGAACGCGTTTTAGTGAAACAAAAGATGACATTTAAATACGGGGTTTGTTTCACTGCAGATTTTTGGCAGTAGACAGGGCGCTTACTGGAATGCAATTCTGTGGAGTTGGCAAGGCTTTGGGAGATGGTGCCCAGGTGCAGTATATTGGTGCTGCCTCCTGAAGATCAGCTCTGACTTGACTCAGGCACTTTGTTGTTTCCATGCAACTGCTCAGCATGAGAAAGAAATAACAAACAAAGAAGGAAAGCAATGTATGTACTTCCGTACCCACTTCCTTTCACTGCAGTCTGTCACAGAATCACAGAATGTGTCACAGGTTGGAAGGGACCTCCAGAGATCATCTGGTCCAGCCCCCCTGTTCAAGCAGGGTCACCCCAAGCACGTTACATGGGATCCCATCCAGACGGGTTTTGAGCATCTCCCAAGAAGACACTCCACAAGCTCTCTGAGCAGCCTGTTGCAGTGCTCTGTCATCTGAACCGTAAAGAAGTTCTTCCTCGTAAGAGGATGAAACCTCCTCCTCGTGGCTCTGTTTCACTTGCTCAGAAATCCATTCTGAAATCCACCAGCTGAACCGGGAACAATTACTAATGTAATGTGTCTAACTGTGGGTGACCCGTTTGGTGATAATCTGGAGCTGAGTAATAATAGAGCGGTGCACTAAAAGTGAGGAGGGAGGTGGCTCGGGGACATGGTGTGGCAAACAGCTAGAGAGGAGGAAGTTGGAAGTGATGGGAGGAGGTTCCGGGATCTGGTGGAGCCAATAAAACGACCCATCTACGACATGTCTGGTGGGGAACCCGATGGCTAACAAAGACTGGACTGTCTGCTAGTGAAGTGCAAGCGCCTCTAGAGCCACAGGAATGAGATATCCTGGGATGCGTAAGAGCAACAGCATGTGTAAGGTTCAATTGCTTGAGAAAGAAAGAAATCATGAAAGAAATGGTCAAGGCCACACTTGCTCCTTATTGCAATGCATCTCTTTGGTGTAATTACACAAAACTAGAATAGCATCGTTCCTTGCGCCAGGAACCGCTCTGCTCGGCTGTGGGATCGACTGTGGAACAGATGCCCATCAGTGCACCCCAAGCATTTTCCTCGGAGGGGTCTCCGCTCTCAGCTGCTCACCAGGACCTCCTGAAGCTGTGGACAAATGATATTAAGTGCTATTTTCTTGTGGTATGAATGAGAATTGCAAGAGGCCTCTCTGCATGGCGGTGTGGTAGTGCTGTGCGAGTGAGATGCAGCATCTCTGCGAAGCAACATCCCTAGTGCTTAGTGGTTTGTTGAGTGATGTAGATTCTAGTAGGCACGCTGCTTTTACGTAACTCTGCATGTGATTTTCAGTTTGTTGCTTCTTGTACCGTGCATCCTGCAATATCTGCGGTGATTGTTAGGCAATCTATCGAAAGCATTTGGTTAATCAAAAATAAAAAAGGGGGAATTGTGGAAAAGGAATTTGCAGGTAGCTCTGCGCTGTTTCACACGTCCCCGAATGAGAGATAATGAGGAAAGCAGCAGTAGAAACAAAAACTTGAGCAAGGTTGAGATAAAGGCAGTTGGCTCCAGTGTTGAAGATGATCTCTGGGGCAGTGGCCAACTGCTGGCTGGCTCGAAGCACGTTTCTGAGGGTCTCTAACCAATTGTATGAGAGATTTGGGCACGTGGACAGCGCGTGGAGCTACGGGGAAAGTATATGTAGTAGTGAAAAAGGGCAAGAAAGGCCTCGTGTTGAAGAGCCATCAGGAGTCTGTGTCTTGCATCCCTTCACCTAGCTTAGCACGTGTACAGAGGTCCAGCGCCTAACTCAGAAATAATTCTTTAAAGTCAAGCAACAGGGCTTTGGTTGAAACAACATGGGAAGCTCCTCCTGTTCTGTATTCTGGGGGAATACACTTTTCCCTGCAGTGTATTCCCCAGGACATTTAGTACCTGTTGGCTGAACACAAACGCACAACAGAGGGTACCCCAACACAGACGGGCAGCAGGTTCTTGTGCGTCACCTTTGAGCCCGAGCCTGAGCACGGAGCTGCTTTACGAAGCCCAGGTATGGCATTGCAACTCCAGACTTCTGAGTTCACTTGCTGATTCTCTCCGTCTCTAGGTCCAAAAATGTCCACGTTGGGTTTCTCCCTTAATTCCCCATTCTGAAAGAATGGGTTGGCCTAGTAGAGAGTCCTTCAATAGTTTTGTTGGCCAAAGAGCTGTAGCCTGAAAGTCAGAAGTCTCCGTCATCCTACAGGAAGAGAGAACACGTCAGGGGCAAATTGCCTGACGTTTGGATCTTTCTCTTAATTATCAAGACCAACCAACCACACGCAAAACGGCCAACATGCATAAATGAAAGAAAGCCAAGCACGGCGTGCCAGAGCTGGTCCAACAGTTGTTCTGGTTAGCTCTAAGAGAGAATTTGAAGTTAGCTAAGGAGTGGAGAATAAGAATGACAAAGTGATGCTCTCTCTGAGGGCTCTTAGTATCTACGGCCATGGTCCGCCCAAGATCTTGTCTCTGAGGACCCCAAGTTCTTTCTGGACGTGGTTCTGCAGCAGCAGCAGGTTCTGCCCCGGGGGTCTCTGGCTGGTGTATTGGGGTAAGGAAAGCCGGGGTGCCAGCTTGGCTGTCTCGGTTTCCGTATGCCCATAGATGGAGACAGTAACCTGGCAACTGGGGGCTTATTGTGTGCTCATAATGCAGCCAGACAGGATAAAAGGCAGCGCCTCCTCCTGCGGTCATCACTTCTTGGAAGTGCAGCTGTGACGAACGAGGTAGGATAAGGCTCGTCTCCAGTGTTTCCACCAGCTTGTCTCCAACAGTTCCATCCTGTGAACTGGCGATCAAGCTTCACGTTCGTTAGTCAGATGAGACCAGTGAATACGAGAGCGTTTAAATTTGCCTTCCTTTTAACAGGCACGCGATGAGTGCAGCGATGTCACAGGGTGAACGGTCCACTGGGAAGACCCTAGCGGTAAGATTAGCTCCTTCAGACTGCACAAGTTCATGCACTTTTTTGGATCTGGGTGGTCTAGTGCAAAGCTTGATACTGTTCATATGAGAAATGGGCGAAAAAAGGGGGCAAAAGAAACAAAAAGTGAAATGCTGCGGATACTTGAGGCTCTGCTTACCTGCAGCAGAAACTGCAAGCTCTTCATGTGGTGGTGTCGGAAGCGTGCAGGTAGCTCTCACGCGCGCTTTCAGGGAGTCTTTAGCGGAGACAAGATCCTCTAGTACCATGGGCAGTGAATATTGGTCCCCAGATAGAGGGAGAAGCAGCTTCTGTTCCTCTCTCGCATCCCCCTGCCTCTCTTCCCAGCATGGTCATAATCCAATCTACAATACAATCTACTGACAGTTTCAGATGTGCAGTCACCATCAAGTATTTGACTTAAGAATGAATTCCCATCAGCATTTTGTAGCGATTTAAGTGACTGTGAGCAGGTGGAGAAAGTGGCTTAAAGTCAGGTTGAGGCCTCAGTTCAGATTCATTCCTGAGAAGTGCAGATGGCACAGTGCAATTCCTTCCATGAGTACCCTCGGATTGCAGAACCCTAGCGCTTCTCCCGTGCTTCTTCCTCCCCTGTGAAATACTGCAGACCAGTCAAATCCTTAGGTATTTGTCTGAAAACAAAGTAAGCAAACAAACAAAAGTCCAGTCAGTCCAACACTGCAGGCTGAAGCTCAGTCTGAAATACAAGCTATGTCACGATGTACCTGTTTCATTGGCAGGGCACGATGGAGTCACGGGACGTGACCCCGCAGAAGGGCTCTCTCCAGCTCCTCGTGAAGAAACGGGAGTCCGCCAGTGCCACAAGCCCCAGCGTGGTGCGCCAGCGCCCACCAGTGCCACGGGCACGGTCACGTTCACGGAAGAGACGCATCCGTGTCAAATCCGTGGAAGTACTGCGGGCACACGGTCGGCTCATGGAGACGATCGAGGAGGAGCCCCTGGACAGCTCGGGCGAGATTGAAACCTTCCCCGTTGCTGTCAAGGAGGTTGAGAGCCACTTGGAGAGCCTGGGTGTCAGGAAGGTGAGTGCAAGAAGGTTCTGCAGTTGAGAATGATTCCCCCACTATCCCTGTGGCCTTGTGATTCTAGCACTTCTGAAAACATGAGGCAAGCGTGTGCAACTGTGCCAAATCTCCTTGTTTTGCAAGGAGACCACGGGAAATGGAAAGTGCGAGCTACTGCTAAGCACGCTGGTGCGATGAGCTATCAGCTAAGCAGCACATGAATGCACCATTCACAACCTGCAGTGCCACAGAAATTGCCCATAGAGCATCCTGGAGAACACTGCTGCCAGAACAGCACCCCCTTCCAATGTGCTGCTGCTTCATGTCATTTCTGCCCCCGAGAACCCTATCGGTCTCCTACCAGGAGCTTCTAACTCCCATCCCCTTGACGTCTTCTAACAGGGAGCAGAGAGTGCGAGGACCTCCCTGTCACCAGCTCGGACTAGCGAGCCTGAGAGCAATCCAGGCGTAGCGGAGTCCACTGTTAAGAGGAGGAGGGCAGTCTCTGAGACGCTCTCAGAAACCGGAGAAAACAGCAATGCCAAAGGTGAGTCTGACCACTTGGATCTGCTTTCTTGCTTTAGTTGAGTGCACTCGATCTCTATTTTGACGAGGGGCAACCACATTCGTGTCATCACGTGTCATCAGGAAAAGAACGTGGTGTTCTTATCGATGCCAAAGAAGCTTTTTGGCTCTCTCCGTTTTATCTTTGTGTTATGGAGGAGTGCCCGAAGCCCATTAAACACTTTTGGAGCAAAACACAACAGAACGGTCTCCTATGTTTAGAGAAGATAACTTATGATGAAGAGAACCCAAATCTAAAACTGTGATACCAAAACTATGGGCAGCATTCATCAATGATGAAAAAGCAGGAACTTGCTCTTCTCAGTTGGTGAAGATAGTTTGGATTTGGAGAGGTGTTGCTTTCGTAACAACACCTTAGCTTTTAAGCGTGGCTTTCCGGTTTCCACAAGTCGAATGCTCTGTGCTTGATGTGTTCTAACGTAAAAGTTGTTGAACGGCTGCTGAAAAGTTGGTGTTCCTGTTCGTTTTGCCTACTGCTTTTCTTTCAGGATTCGAAACACGTGCACCCATGTCCCTCTCCCCAACTATGATGTCTGTTTGTAGTTTCAGGGGGTGGTCGCAAACCTCTGAGAGGACTTCGAGAAGCGCGCCCTCCGAAGCCTGGCAAGACGCTGCAGCTCTTTGAGGAGAATGTCTCCTTAAAGGATAAAGAGGCTCTTTCTCAAGCTGCAGCGTCTGAAGCAGAGAAGAGGAGCTGCTTTGCCAATAATGTAAGATTGCAATGTCTCATTCTCTTCTTAATTCTACGTTTGCTTTGCACAGGGTCAGACCCTAAAATACTGTCTGTATTTCTACAAGCAAGCTATCAGATGGCTCACGGGGTGGATCAAAATTTAAATCCGAAATTAGGAAACTTAGATAGCAAACAGAGTCATCCTTCAGTCTGTCTCTACCAAATGAGATTTTTCATGCTACATGCCTCTGGTCTTTTGGGCAATCCCTTTTCATTCACGGAATTGCTCTTCTTTGTAGTCCACCTTTGCCAGAACCTCATTTATGAGGGCCCTAGGCGTGAGAGAGAGCAGCAATGCGGTTATCCTATTTGCTCGTGTTCACCAAAAACGGCAGCTTCTTTAGCACAACAAATATTCTTTATTGACAAATAATAAAATCCCCTTCAGATGCACCGTGAGCTTAGAGCTCTTGGTGCTCAAACGGAAGGATTTGAAATCGCTGCGTTATAAACCAGCGGCCGTTTCAGATAAGGTACGGGAAGAGTGCAGGTGTTTTCAAACCACACAGTTCCTGCCCGCTGGCTTCTTGATTTCCTCATCGCTTTTGCGTATTCGGAGCAGATTCCTGCGGTTCCTTGGGCAGAGCAGGTTCAAATTCCCTCCTCCTGACACTGCAAAGAATGCTGCAGTTAGCTCTGTGTCCCCAAAAGGAAGAACTGTAGGAAGGCTGGCCCAAGTGAACTTTGTGGAGAACATAGGAACCGCTTCATTTACACTCTAGAACCCCTTGCCCTTTCTTGTTGACATGGACAGGACGTTCTTGCTACCAATGGAAACCACCTGGCCTTATTTAATCCTTCTAGATTTCCGAGGAGACCAAGGCCTGCACTGCGCCTGGCGGCCTGGGCACAGGCAGGATGCACTCTGAGGACAGGCAGACCGCCTCCTCGAGGATGAGCGATGCTCGTTGCCAGCAGGAGCAGAAAACTGCACAGGTAACAATGCCATTTGTAATAGTAACCAAGGAGGTCTTCTATGCTAAAGAGCTTGAGGGAAAAATACCATGATTTGCGTGGAAAGGTGTGTGCTTTTAGTTCGAGGTATCTTCCCGTGTAAGTTAGAAATGCGTAAGATTAGACATCGGTTCATCTCATACAGTCTGAATTCCGATTTTCACTATGCAGTTGCAATTTTAAATGTAAGCCGTGAAAGTGGTGGGAATAAAGGAAGCTTAGCAATCAGGGGCACATAAAGAAGTATTTAGTACAGTCTGTAATTCAGCAAGTATTTCTACTGTGTGACAAACACAACTAAAGAAGAAGTCAATGAACACTTCTGCTTTTCCTTTCCTTCTCTGCTGAAGGCAATCTCTTCTTTCCTTGTTTTCGTTCTCTAAATGTGTGTATTTTCTGTCACCAGTTTCTCAGATACACAGAATCTGTCCACTGGAGAAGTGATGAAAAGTGCCCAAAAGTTGAAGGCGGTATGAACCAGCCATTTATAGCGGCAGAGAAGATGGAAGCGCTAAGACAGCCAAAATCTACAATGTCTTCAGTGGCTTCCAGAATGAAAGCAATTAATGCAATCCTCAAAAATCAACAACTTCCTGTAAGAGGTCCACGCCATCTTGAAGCTGGTGCACCAAATCCGGAGTGCAAAAGAAAGGAATCCTCTGTGATCCAGGTGTTTCCGAATCTTAAGGAGCCACAGAGGAGGGAGCCATTGCGCCAGCCGATAAAGAAAATCAATTCTGCAGCTTCCAGACTGAAGGCCATCAATGAAATGCACAAGAGCCAAAGTAATCTTCTAGGATGGCCAAACCAGCAAGAAGCTGCTTTAGTGGCTTACGATATGCAGTGGCGTGAAACCCCAGAATGCGATGGAAAGAACAAAGATGAAGCCCTCGCAGGCCACGTGTTGTGCAGCAATGCACATCACGTTTCCAATAAAAACCTGTAATGACTTAAAAGTAACAGACTTGTCTGAATTTTTGCTGCCTGTCTCTCCTCCCTCCTTCAAGATTTCCCTCGTGCAAGATGCTATCAGGACAAGGCGTGAAGTTGGATGTGTAAGACAGATTAAGAAGATTTTTGTCAACATTGGTACCCCTAGTAAGTGCTGTGAGTAATGTGCAAGCTAGAGAAAGCGAGCCCCAAATCCCATTTTGATTCGGAAAGGCAGCTGGAGCAGAATTATGTAAAACTCTGTGTCAGACAGTACCAGAGTTTTGACAAGTGCATTTTGTGACGTGACCCTGCTGAGTGTGAGCCAGCACGGAGGCAGGAGCCGGGCAGGTGAGCTACTGTGTTGCGTGAAACACCGTGTTGACAGCGGTGCTCATGTATAGGCTGTAGGGCTTCGCGTGAAAGATCTTTCCTACCCAGTAGAAGGCAGTGCTTGATATTTTCAGTTAAACAGAGTGAAGGGTGGTCCCAATGACAAGGATCACGAGCTGCCGGGCTGTTTTCCATGTCTGCCAGTTAGGTGAGCCATATAGCTGTATCCTCTTGTTTGTAGTACAAAAAATTGGAAAGGAATCCTTCTCCAGGAACTTGGGAGAAGAGAGAGGGGTGGAAGGAACCCCACTCAGTTTTCGGCTCACCCTGAACATAGTTGCTAGCAGATTGGTTATGAGCTACTAGGTGTGAATTCCCTAGCAGCCCGCTGTAATTAAGCATCCTGCAAATTGAGGATGGGGTGAGTACTGCAAGAAGCTCATCAGCAGCTCTGCAGCACCTTTCCACACCCTGTGGATGCCCTTCGGAAATCTTCACATGTTTTTTGTTTGTTTCAGAGCCAGGAACAAATGCTGGCAAATGCAAAGGTGTTAAATGTTGGCCAACCTATCCCAACATGCCCTACAAGGTACTGAAGGGAATATTACTCTTAAGTGGATGATGAGCTCAGTGTAAAGGCTGTTATGTTAAAGCTTATTATCCTCATTAAGAGATGTGTGTAATGTGGTTGAGGCTTCTGATATGGGAAAAACAACATTTTCCAAGTGTTTTGTTGTCCCCTCTGTTACACTTGGAGGGGAATTCAGTTTCTGTTTTCCACTGGGTCAAATTCAGCCTGGAGATAAGATTTCTTCACAAATTTTAGATGTTGGGGTTGCCTCTGTGAAGGCAGAGGGCTGCATCTGGGAAAATGTACTTGTACCGTAGCAGTAGTGGTTTCCCTGCAGAGACAGGGAAAGTGAAGAGCTGTGTACAGAGATGTTCCTGTGCTCCTGCAAGAAGCCTGTCCTGCTCCAGGAGCACTGGAGCTCAAGCACTGGAGTTTCACCAGGTATTGTTAGCTCCAGCTCAGGACCAGCCCTGCAGGACTGGACTAGTTCGCACAAGGTGACATGAGTCCACCTGCCACGTGTTCTTCATCATTTTATTGTCTGTGTTCTTTCTTTATATAGGGTACTGTAGCTCCTCCCAGTGATGGGGCATTGGCTCTCTAGGCAGCTTTAATTTATATCTGTCTTTTGAGGGTCAGATCAGGAGAAGTTTAAGGTCCTCAGCCCTGAAGCAGAGCCCTCCCTGCTTCAGAAAGGGCTGCAATTGAAACCAGCTGATCCCAAGTCCCTTGCAAATGTTTCCATTTCAAACCACTGAAGTTTTATGCCTTCCTAGTAATTTTTTTTTTCTTGAGCCTCATAAATCTCACAAAGATCTGGAACAGCTAGTAAATTTGGCCATTCAGATACACATTTTCCAGTAAAAAGGATAACGATTGCTGTTTCTCATGCCACCTCCCCACCCCCTCAGCTGTAGAAGTTCATCTCCCAGCAGCTTGCTGCTGCTTGCACGCAAATTGGGCTATAATACAACAGGCAGCACACACAGGTCCTGTATGCATCATCTGTGGTGTTGGGAAAATGAAAGGGGATGGTGGTCCCTGTTTTGGGAGGAATCAAGTTGTTGCTGAACCTCTGCTAGTTTTGCCACAGTCCATGTACATAACAGGAGCCAAATCATTTGTCCTCTTATCACCTCAGATCAGAAGAAATAGGTTGATGCTTGCCTGCTCGGATGGTTGGGAATCTTGCTCAATTCAGGCTTGACAACATGCTTTCATGAGAGGGGCAATGGGAAGCTGCAGAACTCTGGGCTAGGGACTCACCTCCCAGAGCCATTCGCCAAATGTCAGACACAAGAGGGCTGAGCTGGGCAATGGCCTCAGCACCTCCTGCTAGCCTACTCCACACAATTTTGCCTGTATTGGTGGTGCCCTGAAACAGTGTGGGGAAGTGGTGGTCTCTAGCCCTCAAGACAACCCAGGGAGGAAGCCGTCCTCATCCTCCCCGTGGCACTGACGTTGTCCAGCCTGCTCTCCTAGGCTTGACAGAACATGAGCCCAAGGACAGCATAAACCTGAGACCGCTCAGACTTTTGTCGGAAATGCCAGGCAAAAGTGCTGAAGATATTTACAAAAACATAGCGTAGAAATAGAAAATTGCAAGCATATTTTCCCTTTTATTTGTTGTCTCCCAAATCCAAACAAGCTTATTTCCTTTCCTGTAATGCTGCTTTTGATAATCTTGTGCGAAAGGCACTGAATCTGCTCGTAGTGCTGTCAATAGCAAGATGCCTGATGCTTTTAGTGGCTCAGCTATTAAAACCCTGCATCCCAGTTGTCTGGCTGTGAGCAGTCCCAAGATATTGCAGTGACAATATGGAACCTTTTTTCTCTCTGAATGTTTCTCTGCAAAGTTTGACCATTTTGGCAGGGGTAAAACATGTGTCTATCTGGGATTCTGTCCAAGGATGAGATTTTGACAGCTGTGCTCGTGTTGGCAAAAATCCTGACATCTTGCGCTCCGTTGAAATAGCAGATTCTTAGTGGAGAGGGGTGGGAATCCGATTTCATAGATGAACACTTGTGAATTGAAGACTGAGCCGGGCTTAGCTCTTTTCACTTGGGGGAAGAGGTTCAACCCATCCTCTGGGAACAGGGTGGAGCCTTTCTTTCTTCCCATCTCCACCTGTGGGCACAGATGGCTGATGGGCAGCAGGGCTGATAGGAGCCCTCTGTGCTTCTGCCAACTTTGCGCAGCAGTTTGGGACATGCCTTGGACTGCACCCATGAAAGTGGGTGTCAGCCTGTTTTGAGTACATGCCTAATGATTTTCATTTACATATTAGATGCTCGGGCATGAATGGTGGGTGGTGTTAGCACGCTCTCAATGAAAATCCACCTTCGCGGTCGTGATCAAAGCTTGGCCTGTTATTTACACCAGATAGCTTGCGAAAAAACAAAGCCTTAGTATAGCTTGAAATATCCAGTTTGGGAGTTTTTGTTGTTGTTGCTACTATCATTATGATGATTGGGTGTTCTTTTTGTTTGTTTTTCACTAAAATCTCCATTTTGACCTGGAGGGATATTTCCCATAAAAGCTGTGATTATTCAAAGCCATTATATTTCTGCAGTAACCTTCAATCTAATGAGCTGTCATTTTTCTGATGAGAAATCACTTATTTGGAGACTACAATTCCGGTTATCTCTGCAAATAGAGAATGATGGTGCAGAAAAATAGTGTCACAGGGTCACCTAAGAACTCTCCCATCAGAGCCAAGGATGGACTGGAGCAGGCCTGGTGGAAAGACACCAACAGGTTTTCAGAAGATACTTTGCAAATGTTATATTTATTTCACACCGTTTAGTGGCCAGGTAGCTCCTTTATATTTTACCAAGAAAAATAAAAAAGCCATGAGGGTTTTAAATCGTGTCAGCCAAAAATTGCCATTGCTAGTATTTCCCTGAAAAATAAGGGAAGATTATTTTTTAAAACACAAACAAGATAGTAGCCAAAGAACGAAACCCCAAACAAAACATACTTCCTGAGGAAAACAATCCAAACAATTTTGCTCAGGAAAAATCACAGCTTAAGTTTAGACACACAAAATCAGACTTCATGGTTTCCATCCATGGGAAATGGGAGGTCTTTTAATTTATTTTGACTTTAAAGGAGGAACAACTAAATGAACTTAAAGTACATACTTGCTGGGCATTAAGTGATGTTTATGGACATCAGCAGATGTTTGGTAGCCCTTTTGTATGTTTAAGTCCCCAGGCAAATTTTAAGGACTTGGCAAACTGTAGGCTCCTGTTACAGGGTAGATGAGTCAGATTTAAAATGGTTAAATTTGGGATGGTCCTAGAATGAGAAGTCTCGTGCACATGTGCTGAGTGACCGCACGCTCTGCTGTGGCCACAGTCGGGCACGCAGATGAGCTAGAGGTGCTCGTAGCATATATTATTTATCTGCATGAACAGTGTTGGCTGCATGGACAGAACAGTGTAAATACAAAATTATATGGAATTATACGGGAAAAAAAAATGACAAGCTCTCTCTTCCTCTCCCACTTATTTCTTGAAAACTGGGGAAAATATTAGCACATCTGTGAGTGCCGGGCTGCTGTGTTTAGAATGCTTCTAGAGCCCCTGTTAGCTTGGTTAAAACTACTGTGTCCATCTCTACGCTGAGCAATGCCAGTTGCACAACTACCATAAATTAAGCTGAAATTCCAACTTTAAGTTGTCTTATGGTTCTGCAGCCTATCTGTTTACTTGGGAATAGCACAAGGCAGATGTCTTCATCTTGGCTGATTCTTAACAGGTCATGGACATTAACTTTAAATAACTGAAAGCCTTTAAAATAATTTTTAAACATGCTTATTCCCCCCTGACAGACCTTAACCTTTAGTTGGCCTTAACCAGAAACATGCGGGATAATGCGATTTGAAAACAGACCATCAGAAACCATGCAAGAGCTTCAAATATGTACTGTGATCATTACCTGAAAACAGTGAAGAGATTGGAATAATTATTGCTCGTGTTTACACTTCTGTATCTCGGTGGGTTGTGCTCAATCCCTTAATGACAGTGATTAAAAACATAGTGGAAACACACAGTAATTAGAGAGAGCACTTACACGATTCTGAAAGCACAGAGGTAGCTTTGAAGTGGACCTGGACACAGTGACTGCTGCCAAAGCATTGTGAGAGCCAGGAGCATTGTGCAGGCAGGTAGCTGGTAATTGTACGTAGCATAACCCATCTGGTCTGCAACAGGCAATATCGGCCTTCCTCGCCAGCCCTATCGTGGCACC